CATGGGAAACTAACATCATTTCTTTTTTTGACAGGATTACTAAACATGTAGAGAAGAAGTCTATGAATATAGTTTGCCTATATTTTAGCAAAGCTTGTGATAAAGTACCTCATACTATTCTTCTGGAAATTGAGAGTTGTGCTTACATGATAACACATCAGATGGATTTAGAACTTGTGGGTGGCCGCAGTTCCGTATTCTGAAGCTACACTGCCCTAACCTCTCTGGTGACCTACAATTTTACATCTCCAATTGCCTTTCAGATATCTCAAACTTGATATCAAATGGAAGGCATCTTAATGTCAGTGTGTCCAAAACAGAACTGATCACCTTTCTCCCTCAACCCCTCCCCCACTTCCTAATTTCCCTGCTCCTGTTAAGAGCACTAGCTTTGCCTCCTCACTCTCTCAGCCTCCATATCTAATATGTTGTCAAGCCCTGTCAAGGTATTGATTTCAGTTTTGTTAATATCTCTTGAATACATCCCCTTTTTTCTTCTGACACTGCCAACACCCTGGTGTAGTCTTCATCACATCACACCCGGACTATTGCATTAGCCTGCTAGTGGCTTTCTCTGTCTCAAGTCTGCTCATTCCCATCCTTCCTCCCTTCAGCCACCAAAGTGATTTTCCTGACCATGTCATTCCCCTACTTAAAACAAAACAAAATAAAACCAAAAAACTCCAGTAGCTCCCTGTAGTCTCCAGGATCAAGTACAAAATCCTCTGGCTTTCAAAGCCCTTCATAATCTAGTCTCCTCCTACCTTTTCAATCTTCAATTCTTCAAACCAGTGGCACAGGCCTCCTTGTTGTTCCACAAATAAGACAGTCCATCTCTCAGCTTCATGGATTTTCACTGATTGGCTCCCATGCCTGGAAAGCTCTTCATACTCATCTTTGCCTACTAGCTTCCCTGGCTTCAAGTCCCAACTAAAATCTCATCTTCTATAATAAGCTTTCCCCAAGCCATCTTAATTCTAGTGCCTTCCCTCTCAATCATTCCCCACTTATCCTGTATATAGTTTGTTTGTATATATTTGTTTGCTTGTTTTCTCCATTAAATTGTAAGCTTCTTGAGGGTAGGGACTGTCTTTTGCTTTTTTTTTTTTTGCATCCCTAGCACTCAGTACTGTGTCTGGCACATAGTAGGTACTTAATGTTTATTGACTAACAATATCAACATGGCTGAAGGTCTCCAGTAGAGTATCCTGGCCCTGTGCTGTTTAACATTTTTATCAGTGTATTAGATAAAGGTATAATAGTTCTTTAAGTTTGTAAATGACCCAAAGTTGGGAGGGACGGTTAACACCTTTGAAGAAAGTCAGGATCAGGAAGGATGACAAATAGACCAATTGGGCTGAATCCAATAAGATGAAATCCAATGGGATAAATGTAGTCTTGCCCTTGGGTACAAAACTATCAACTCTAAAAATATAAAATGGGACAGGCATGGATAGATAGCAGTTCTGAAAAGGATCTGGGGGTTTTAGTGGCCAGCAAGCTCAATGAGTAAGCACTGAAATGGAGCGGCCAAAACAAACCAAAAAAACAGCTAATATAATTCCACTGTATTTTAGTCTATCAGACCTCATCTGTATTAGTTTGTCAGTTCTGGGCATCACAGTTTAAGGACATTGATAAACTGAAGTGTTCGGAGAAGGGCAAACAGGATGGTGAAGGGCCCCAAGTTCATGACATATTACTATCAGTTGAAGGAGTGGTTATGTTTAACTGGGAGAAAAGAAGACTCAGGGGGATGTGATAGCTGTCTACAAATACTTGAGGGGCTGTTACGAAGCAATCATTCTTTAACAACATGCCTCTCAGAGGCCCACCAACTGAAGGATTCTGCAGCTGAAGGAATAAAGCCATACTATGAGGGACAGGAGATATGGCACTTCCCAGGTCGCCATTATATTACTGACTGTTGTTCTGAAATCAATGAGGCAGATCTGAAGTGAATGGAGAATATTTGTTCAGTCTGGGGCAGGGGTGGGGAACCTGTGGCCTTTATTTGTTCTGTGAAATTTGGATTCAGTCAAAGGGCTGCACTTGAAGACCTAGAGGCCCACATGTGGCCTTGAGGCCACTGGGGGTGTGGGGGGGAGGAGGGGGGTATCTTTATCTTCTGGGAAAGGCTGTCCTGACACAACAGCTGTGTGACCCTGGGCACATCATTCCACCTCCCAGCCTCAGTTTCCTTTCTCAAGTGTAAAACAGGGATCATAAGAGTACCTCCCTCCCAGGACTGCTGTGAGAATTAAATGAGATGATATAGGTAAAGTCCTTTGCAAACCTCAAAATACTATATGTGTTAGCTACTTGAATGTTTTGTATGTTTCCCAAGTTTGTTCATGCAGGCCTAAGTCCTTATGTGTTTCAGTGGTAGTTGAAATAAAAGCTATCCCAAACTTGATACCCCTATTTGTACATTAAGCACTTTTGGAGGAGGGGATTTTGTTACTTAGTTGGAGAGACCTAGACACGAACCACACCTAAGCTTTATTTAGGAGATTTCTCTGAGATTTTGCTTCAAGGGTCCACGTGACCCTAAGTCTCTTAGGAGGCCCCTGGGCTTAAAGTCATGCTTCACTGTGGGTGGAGGTGACCCAAGGGTCTTCAAGGCCATGCCAGTAGAGTACCAGCCTTGGCAGGTCTTATGTAACTGGAAACACTTCTGGTATGGATAGTGTTCTTGCAAGAAAGAAAGGTATTGTCTTCCAGTACTGTTACAAACAGAAATATCTGTCAAGGGCACTAAGGGAGGGGTGGTGAAGATGAGGAAAGAAATAATTGGCCCAGATGAGGAGTTCTTAACCTTTTTGTGTGCTGGACCCCTTTGGCAGTCTGGTGAAGCCTATGGACCTTTTCTCTGAATATGTTTTAAAATGGTTTTTCTCTAATTCACTTTAGACTGATTCAAGATGTAATCTGAACATTGCTTTTCTCAAGAAGTTATGCATTTTAGTTGATGTGCTAAAAGCAATCAAAACATTAAGTGTAGAACCAAAACATGTTTTCAAAATTAAAATACTTGTGACCATAAAAAATGTGTCACATGGATTTGTGATCCAGTTACCCTTTATTGAAATTGGTTTCAGTGAGAGCCCCAGTTGCATTAGATTTAACAAACATCATACCTGTGGCTTCAACATAAAAATCACCATATTGGGTCTGACATGTTCCATCCAGATCAACTGTCTCATATAGGGACTTAAAAACTTTTTTCCCTACTCATAGTTTATTCTACATCACTTTGGTTATTTTTTTTTTAAATATTTACATTTGTATTTTTAATAAGGAATATTCCATGGAATACCACAATTTATCCAGTCATTTTCCAGTGGTTGGATATATATAGTTTGTTTATAGTTTCTCATTATTAAAAGTAAAGCAACTATGATTAAAAATAAATAAAAATAAAATGCATTAAAGTACATTGGACTACAAAGGAAGCCAATTGTATTGAAAAAGTTATCAAAATATTGTTGCTTAGTTGTTTCAGTCAGATCTGACTCTTTGTGACTCCATTGGGGTTTTCTTGGCAAAGATACTAGAGTTGGTTTGCCATTTCCTTCTCCAGCTCATTTTACAGATGAGGAACTGAGGCAAACAGGGTGAAGTGACTTTCCCAGGGTCACACAGCCAATAGGTGTCTGAGGCTGAATTTGAACTCAAAAAGATGTGTCTTCTTGATTCCAAGCCCAGGGCTTTATCCACTGCATCACTTAGCTGGCCTATCAAAATATAGATTTTTTTTTCAAAATGTTCACAGACTTCAAGTTAAGAACCCCTGGCCTAGAGAAAACTTTGTCAGACATAATCATGTCAATTTAAGGAAGTCAGGCAGGTGTGAAGCTCTCTATATACTCAGCCCCTTACAAAGGTCCCAAAGAGTTATGTTGCAGCAGGCACTGCTGCCTTTCCATTGCAGTGGAGTGTTGATTGAGGCAAATGAAACAAAATGAAACAATATTCAATGACTTGAAGTCCTCAATAGAAAAATTAAGACCTTGGCTTTGAAAGGATCTGCCCTGTTCACTCACCATTCTGACTCCACACCCAGTGCTTTTTCTAATACCTGTACTCTGATCCCATTTTTCACTATTTTGTTTGATCAGCTGGACTGTCACACATCACATCATGCCACCACATGCCATCGTGTCACATGCAGTTTCATGTCACCATGCCAGCTACATGTTGATACATAACAATGCTGTTACGTCATGCCTCAAATGGTACATGTTGCATGACATCATTGCATGTAAAATATATACAAATCTTCAACAACATATCTGTGATAAAATATTTGAAAGTATAAAAGCGACAGTGTAGGTCTCAAACACATGGACATTTTGACCTCAGTTGTTCATTCAACTAATAACTATATCTGGTGTTTTACAGTACAATGCTTCAGAGTTGGAAAAATGCTTTTCATTTAGTCTCATTTACTATTATTGTTATTAATAATAACTGTCATTATATAGTATATATAAGCATATAAGATTCATAAAGAGCTTATGTAATCCCATTTGATCACATAACCCTTGTGAACATGTAGTCCAACTTCTAATTTTCCAGAGAAGCAAACTGAGGCCCAGAGAGGTTAAGTAAGTTGCCCAAGGTCACACAGATGCTAAGTGACAGAACAGATCAGTACCCACCCTTGGTGTGACTCCTGAATTTCTCTTTTGGAGATAATGAGGGTAAGGTGTTTTGTATCTATGGAGAACTCTGCTAACACTAGTTGTTACTCTCTGGAGAAGCGTGGGGATAAGGAGTCAGAAGGGCTGAGTTCACCTCCTGGGTCTATCATTGACTTGCCAGTCACTTCATCTCCTGGATTATCAGTTTCCTTATCTGGGGCAGGACTACTAATGTCATTATCATCTTTGGAATGCCAACAGATTTTGGGAGAACAACTAGGCTGGACCCCAGCCACACTATAAACACGCACAGTCACCCACTTTCCTCCAAAGAAAAAGAGAAGGGCCCAGTCATTGACGGTAACAGCTTTTAATCAGACAGGAATCGGTGCATCATTGAAGACCACATTGGCTGCCTTTTCTTCGGCATTCCTTTCACATACCAGGGGCTCAGGAACTTCATCTGGAAGTCATTTTCCTTGGGGGAGGGGGTTTAAAGCATGGTCAGTGGTCAAGTCAGTGCTTTGTTTTTTTGTTTGCATGTTGGTTTTTGTTTTGTCTTTAAACTTTTCCCGGCGAGTCATATTTACATTTACAGTACCTCTTAGTGATCAACAGAAAACAAAAAGGCTGTCACCAGGGATACATTACCCCAAGTGGAGAAAGGCTGAGCTTCAATATTTATATATTTATACATATATATATATATTTAATATGTATACACAGATACAGTTTTCTCTCTTGAAAGTATTAAAAAATTGATCAACCTTCAGTCTATAAAAAATACCTACTCTACAAGATAGAAAAATCTCTCCTCCAGTATATACTGATTTACACCCAAAGCTTTTCCAAAAATGTACGAGGCAACATCTTGAATCTTGATGGGAAAGGAAGGGGTGTGCACACATACCCATACTCACAGGAGGGGGAAATACTGATTGGGAACAGGACAAGTTTGTGAAAGGGAAGAAGGGAAGGCCTCATGGCTCAGTGCTCAGATTCAGAAGGATTAGGTATAATCGGTCTCCCCTGTGGAGCTTAGGGAACACACCTTGCGGAGTCTCCAGGGGGACATGCCAAAGCAGCAAGTGATTTGGTGGCAAATTCATGAAAAGTCTCAAGGAATCTGGAAGCACAACCCAACTCAGGCCAGTGGCAGGGGTAAGGACTGGGGAGGGGGTGGTGAGAGGCAGGGAAAGAATGGACAGGAAAGAGGGAAATGGAAGAGACCCAGTAAAGGAAGAATTCAGGGAAGGGGGAATTTTTTAAGAAGTACATTTCACAAATATTCAGGGATGACATTTTTCCATTCAACCTTTGCCTTTGGGATGCCACTGTCAACTACTCCCAGTCACCCATCACTTTCTAAGGCAGGGATTTGATCGACTCTGGTCTCCCCCTTCTCTTGCCAAAGACACACCGTGGTTAAGGAACAAGCTATTCTTAAGAAACAAGAACAAAAACCAACAACATGGTGGATGGGTGGGAAGGAAACCCAGTTCAGAGAGCTGATCTTCCTGTTTTATGGCACCTTAAAGTATGTAACATGAAGCCCAGAAAAGTCCACACTTCTCCTGTGGTGCAGATGTAGAAAACTCCCGTGTTCACACTGAAAAATTACTATGTAAATCAGACATGGGTGTGCTCCCCAAAGCAGCAGTGGCTGTGGTTATTCTACAAGCAGCAGGATAACACACACTAGTCATTGCCTCTTCAAGGCATTTGTCAATGCTGTCCTAAGCCTTGCTGGGAGGCTGAAGTCTTATCATTTGACTGTCTAGAGACTCAACAGTCTAAAGAAGATCCTAAAAGCCAGCCAGTTTTGCCTAGGAGGGAATCTCAGATGGCCCTCTCCAAGCCTTTTTGTATTTAAAAAACAACTGTGTCATGATTAATGTTAAAGTGTCCAATGTTGGGGTGGGGGGGATCTAGTCTCCTAAATATCTGAAGTTAATTTCCAATGAACTATCTTCCCACCACCATCAATCCACTGGAATGCTGGATAAGGCTGAATCCCTAATGGTACTATTGTCCGGGGGATATCAAGATACTTATAGTACACCAGTAGAATGGAGGTACTCTCTCCCATTTTGAAGAAAAAGAACTAAATATAAAACCAAAAGCCTATTCTCTCAACTGATTTTGAGAGGAATATAACCTTCATATCATAGAAATAGTGAAGGTGAGCTGGAGAAGGGTTATTCTGTATAGTTTCAAAATATCACTAACAGAGCCTGCCCCAAAAGGATTATTGCAATAAGCCACACCTGCCCCCAAGAAGATCTCAGCCACCAGGGCCTGAAAGGATTGCTGACTAAGTGCCAATAATCCTTGAATCCTGAACATAATCCTGAAGGTCCTCATGATAATGTTTCTTTGTCTACACTGCAGCAAGGGACAGGGTGAGGCAGAACCTTGGTTAAGGTGCAGTGTGCCCAATTTTTGTTGTGAGATGCATGCCTGAGCAATTCTAAGGCCATACGGGCAAGGGGAAATATGGGAAATGAATTGGGGAGGGGGAATCTGCTACCAATCTGGTTCCAACAGCCGTAAACTAAGCCTAGCTCCTCTCAATCCCCTCAAGAGAAACAGCAGGCCATTTACAAGAGCTCATAACCACGTTTCTACTTTAACCCACTGTTTTATCTGGTCTCTTCCAATACCCTCTAGTCATCTGTAATTACGTCTCATCCATCTCCTTCATGGCTACAATTGTTTCAAAGCAGGGAAAAAGGAGCCGGGCACACCGCTGCCAACACACTTTTACATCTGGTGTGAAATAAAATCAACTTGACCTCAAATAGGAACTTCCTGGATCACATGTGTCACCGATGGGTTCAAAAAGAAGGCAGAATACACAGCGCATGCCTGAAGAGGAAGTCTAACAGCTTCCTTTCCCTTTTACACTGCTAAAAATCAGCCAGTCACTTTCCAGGAATGTTCTTTGAAGTGTGGAGTCAGAAGCCAAGCAAGGCTTAAGGGAGGAACCTAACTGCACAAGCACCTCAGAAGCACTGAGTCAAAACACAATTCACCTGCAGCCCTGCCTGCACATCACCTGTGAGGAAGACTGGGCCCAAAAGAGCAGGATAGAAGCGCGAGCATTTCAGAATTCAAGTGGGCTTTGAGGGATTCGTAGTGGACTGGTTCGCTGGAGTCAGAAGGAATCTCTCTAACTAGTCTATCTAATATGGCAAGATGCTTGGAGAACCTTTCTCTCTCAAGAGAGAAAGGAATCTGCCAGAATAAAGGTGGAGAATCAAATCACACTCCTGGAATCATTGCCTGTTTCTCTAACCTCGTACTCAGATGGTGCCACTGGCAAGGAGGCAGTGTTCTTCCTCCTTCCCATCTCTCCATCTTACCCCTGCTTTCTGTGCTGCTCGACTACATTCCCTTCCACCCTGCTGAGTCAAGCAAGGGTGATATCCCAAACCAAAGCTGTATCTGCTTTTCTCTCAATTGCTCTGGGCTGGTTCAGGCAATGGGATGTGATCCTCCTTGCCCCTTGATGGAGATGAGACCTTAGTGGTCTAGAGAGCTTAGCAGGGCCTCCTGAAGCTCAGAGCAGCAAGGTCACACCAGGTCACCAGGATTGGAGGGGCAGCATTTCATTCCTTTACTTCACTTCTAAGATGGAGGGGTTGGTTTCCATGATCGCCACAATGATTCTATCAATATAGTCCTGGAGACGGAAGTTGATCTCTTCCTGTTTTTGAATTGCCTCCATCAGCTGTAGGGAAAATGAAGAAGCAAGTTATTATGAGCCTGGGTTTTTCATTCTGGGAGATCAGGCTGTGACCCACAGTGGGTTATGGAGGATTTCAGAGAGGTTACTGAGGATGAGGGCTACGGAGGTCCAGATAATTATCTGGTGGAAGCTGGAACAGCAAATGGCACACCAGGCAACTAGTCTCAGCCTGTCTTCATTTCCTCTTAGGCCTTCTTGTCTCTGCCCACAAAGGCCTCCAAGACTATATAGCCTATGAAGACAATGGGAGCTGTGAAATGCCCCAAAGTTGTCTGACAACTCTAATTATAACAGTTGATATATGTATAGCACTTCAAGCTTTACAAAACATTTTACATTTGTTAACATAGGTGATTCTCAGAATAACTCTGTGAGGAAGCTACTATAAGCATTATTATCCCCATTTTTTTAACTAGGCCCATAATTTAATTGGTAGAGAGAATATCCAGTGAAGAACACAAGTTGGCAACTTCTCATCTTGACCCTGAGAGATTCAGTGACTCACCTAGGGTCACACAGTCAGTAGGGGGTCAGAGGCAGGATTTGAACCCAGGTCTTCCTGACTCAAGTCTAGTCTTCTCTCCACTAAGCCACATTGCTTCTCCTGATTTTACAGATGAGGAAACCAAAGTTGGGAAAGGCATAAAGTGCCTGTGGTCACCCAACTAGTAAGTGTCAAAGGCAGGATTCTTAGCAAAGTCTCTATGGGTTCCAAGTCCACTTCTCTTCCCACTACACTTCTCTGCCTCTGCGAGATAGCTGAGCTTTGGGGAGGAATTTTAGGGAGAGTGGTGAAGGGTACTGGGGAGAAAGAGATGTTTTACTGGATTTAAAAATGTTTAAGAACCCTTCACATAGGTCATTCTAAGTTATCACCAAAGCATTTCATTATCTTTCTTTCTTTCTCTAGTACATACACACATTCAAGAAGGGTGTTCATAGTCAATCGAGATGATGATAAATTTATTTGATTTTAAGACACCGTCTCATCACTCAAACTGTGTGAAAATCTGCAAGTGGTAATGATGCAGAAGTCTTTGGAATTCTCATTCATGTTGATATCCCTGAGAAGTTTGCAGAAATACAGTTTGGAAGTTGGCTTGCAGGAAAGGTCAAAAGTGGCCAAATATCACCCTCTTCCACTCTAACAGTTTCTTTTATACTCCCTTTTGCTCTTCTCCAACTGTTACACTATTAACAATGTTGGAAATCAGTCAAAAATGTAGGAAACTATAAAATCAAAAGACTGAAATTGGTGACCTCTAGTCTCCCATCTCCAACTGTCATTAGACACTTTGAATTGGATGTCCCATAGACACCTTAAATTCAACATGTCCAAAACTGAACTTATTATCTTCCCCCCCAAGTGTTCACCTCTTCTTAACCTCCCTATTGCTGTCGAGGGTACCACCGACCTCTCAAAACTAGCTGTTAACCTCTTCTCCTCACTCTCTCTTACCCCCAGTCTGTATCCAATCTGTTGCCAAGGCCTGATGATTTTACCTCCATAACATCTCTGACATGTGATTCCTTCTCTTCTTTGACACTGTCACCATCCTGGTGCAGGCCCTCATCACCTCATGCCTGGACTATACTGGTTATTTCCCTGCCACAATTCTCTCCTCCATTCCAGGCCATCTTCTACTCAGTGGTCAAACTGATCTCCCTAAAGTTCAGGTCTGACCATGTCCATCCACTGTCCTCTACTCAATAAACTTCAGTCACACCCTGTCTCCTCCAGGATCAAACATGAAATCCTCTCTCTGGTGTCCAAAGGTGTTCATAATTTGCCCCTCCTCTACTTTTCCAGTTTTCATACAACTTACACGTGTGCCTCCCCCCCGCACTGTAATCTATAATCTGGTGACACTGGTCTTCTTGCTGTTTCCCAAACTAGACATTCAGTCTTCCAATTCCAGGGCCTGGCTATCCCTCATTCCTGGAAAGCTCTCCCTCCTCATGTTGAACTCTTGGCTTCCTTCAAGTCTTTCAAATTCTAGTTAAAATTCCATCTTCTACAGGAGAACTTTCCCAGTACCCCAAATGCCGTTGATTATCTCCAATTTATCCTGTATCTATTTTGTCTGTACATAGTTGTTTGCATGTTCTCTCCTCCATTAGACTGTGAGCTCCTTGGGGGCGGGGGTTGTCTGTTACCTTTGTTTGTATTCCCAGCACTGAGCAATGCTTGGTGCATAGTAGGTGCTTAATAAATGGTTACTGACTGGTGATTTTCATGCAACTCTAGCAGTTCCCATGTAAATGAAAGGCCAAGACAAAACTGCATCTAAAATCATAATCACAAATTAAGCGGGACAGAAACACACACTAAACTGAAGAGCAAGATTACAAACATCATCATCTAAGCTCCAACATGTCAGTTTTGATGGGAATGAACATAGGTAACGTGACTTAGGAGAAGAAGCAGTGGGATGAGATTTACGAGGCTTGAGTTTTAGTTTCCTCCCAAGCATTTATTGGCACTGAAACCTTGGGCAAGTCACTTAACCTCTTTGAGGAGCAGTTTCCTCATCGGTAAAAGTGGACTAGATGATGCTCAGTGTCATTCCGTTCACAGCATGACTTGATGGGCAGATAAATGGCTTAGGGGCTGGACTTCCAAAAATATATTTACACACTGATTCACTACCTCATCACGTGAAACAGAGCTGATCTCAGCTGCCAGGGACTCGGAGAAAGAGGCAGAGAAGAGGTTCTTTGCGCCTTGGATGCTGAGGTTTATAATCTGCCCATTTAACTCATCATTCTGCTCCTTTAGATTTCGATTATCCTGGTTACAAGAAAAACATTAAATCATCAATGTTGATCCTGTTTGAGGTACTGAGTCAATCCTGAAAGCATGTTTAACTCTACATCCTAGAGAGAAAGAAGTTGTGGGAAGTTAATCACTGATAGAACAGAGCTAATACAAATGTTATTCTTTTGGTGACCAATTTCCCTGGATACAGGTCAGATATTGTCTAGGGGGAAGAAACCAGTGCTGACAGAGAGAGAGAGAGAGAGACAGAGAGAGAGAGAGAGAGAGCGAGCCCATCCTGGAATCTGGGGCTGAGACCACTAGCAGGGAAGGACAAATGAAGACAGCCATTTCTACATAAGCTTTTAGTGGGGATTCCCTCTTGCCTTTGGTGACAAAGTTCTGCTTGCCCTGCCTGCTCCAATACCTGCTTCAGCCTTCGGATTTCTTGCTCCAGCTCAGTCTCTCGTGTCCTGCTGTTGTACTCCTGGAGCCCCGTACTGCTGCTCCGTCCTCGTCTTTGCTCAGCTTCAAGCTTAAACAGCTGTAAGTGCTCCAACTGTTTCCTGAGGTCTTCAATCAGCTGTAAGGCAACCAAAAAGATGAATGTTTCATGGAAGACAGGACTCCAAAGGCCCATGGAGGCTTTACAGAGTGAATTCAAATAAACCTTAACTGGATTTATCTCTACTCATACTTTGCTTTGGATGCTGAATTTCCAGGGGTGAAAGATAAGTGTTCCCCACTTCCACTCCAACATAGACTTCAGCCAGAAAGCATACTAAAAGTGAGATGTAGGAAATACTGGCTAAAATTAATTACCTTTTGCATTGAACCACAACATCACAAACTTGAATTAGCTTTGATACCCCTAACATTGGTTGATAATTTAAGAAGATACACAGATAATATTGCCTTCCAGGTCCTAGAATCTCACAAGAATCCAATGCAGATGCCTGTTCTCTGATTTCTTTTAGGCACATACTACTACTACTACTGGTCATGGCTAACTTCAGATTTGTACATGTTGATTTTTTCCTAAGTTCATGTCTGGCATTGAAGGGGAAAGATAAGAGCTTGTTTTCAAACCATAGGTAGCTGTTGCTAGGGTACTGGTATTGATGGGGTTCTGACAAAGGTCTGAAGGAGGCCAGGCCTGATGGGTAAAGAACAGGAAAAACGGGTGGCAATGATGCAGGAATAGAAAACAATCACTAGTTTGGAACTATATGGATCGATTAAATATCAGTGCCAACACTGTTCCTGCCTCAGTGGGAATACTTTCTATTACAGATAACAGTCATTGTTCAATACTTTACCGATAAATCTGGGGTATAATATTTGCTGTTTGCTGGATTCCATGGAAGCAACATTCACATATGACTATTCTATAACATTCTCACCTCCTGTGTTGACTCCTTGTCTTTCTGAAACTGATGCCTTTCATGACTCAGTTTGTCTCCCATTTTCCTTTTGTTTTCCTGCTCTTCATTGAGTTGAATGGTTAGGTCTTCTATCTCATCCAGCAATTTCTCCTTTTCCTGAAAAACAAAGAAAAAGCAAAATCCCACCCCACCCCCATATACTACATTAAAACTGAATCATGACAAAGATACACTCATCTCACCAAATATGATCCTATTCATTCAGCCTGGTAGGTCTTATTTTATATCAAATTAGAATTTCTTCATCTTCCACATTTACTGGAGGCAATTTCTTGATTAAATTACGCTAATCGCTTATAATTAGGAGTCACCTTTGACTTTTCCCTTTCCTTCATCCTTTATATCTAGTCAGTAGCAGTCCAATCCAATAATCCAAGTCCAGATGATTCCACCTTCACAATATCTTTTATATCTAACTTTTCCTCTCAACTTCTACTGCAATGACCCTACTATTCAGGCTCTCATTGCTTTTCACCTAGATTATCGTAATAGCCTCTCAGCTAATCTAATGCTTCCTTAAAACCATCCTTTTCAGAACTTCAAACACAATTTTCCTAGTATACTTCTCTAATCATGTCACTCCTGCTTAAAAATCTTCAGTGGCTCCCTATGACCTACTGAAAAAGCATAAATAGATGATACTGGTTTTCAAGGCTCTGTCCAATCTGGTTCTACTCTACCTTTTCAGTTCCATCTCATATAGCCCCCCTTCATGTACTCTATACTCTAGCTAATCTGGACTGTTTTTAGTCCCCTACTCTTATCTTTCTCTCTCTCTCCTACCTTCAAGCCTTTGCTACTGCTTTCTATCAGGCTTAAAATGGCTCCCCCTAGCCCCACCACCCCTTTTCCCATATCGCTTGTCTGCTGAAGCCTTTCCTCCTTCAAGGCCTAACTCAAGTATCATTTGCTTCAGAAAGCTTCCCCGAATATCTTTCTCCTTGCCCTTTGCTCTCTCCTGATGAAAGAGCTTTCTCTTTCCTCAAATTTTTCATAGCACCTTGCTTGGACTTCTATCTTGCAATGATCTCACTCTCCTTCATATCATAGACGTTTGTGTACTTGTCCTTCCTTTTTATTAGAATGTAAGTTCCCCCCCCCAAAAAAAAGAATTTAAGTTCCGTATCTATCTTTTTATCTTTAGCATCTAGAACAAAAGGCTCAAAAACAAAAAAGGTTCTCAGGGTTAGATGCAGAGTTGGATGCAGTGTTAGAAGCGGCCTTTCTTAACACCTGACCCAAGCCCCTCACTTTATAGATGAGGAACTGGAGGATTTAGATTGCTTGAAGAACAGGCGAGAACGAAGGCCACTCTAGTTTGATCTCTTGGATCCTTAAGATTCTAGATCTCTGAAGACTGTCAGTGTTAAGGCAGATTTTAAGGTTGCAGTCAGGATCACATGAAGGAAGAGAAGCAGGGAAGGAGAGAAATGAACTATTTGGAACAACTTGAATTTTTAAAAGGTCATTGTGAATGTTAAAATGATTCTATTATGCTTTTTGCTATTTTTGTCCTTTAAAAGTTCAAGGAGCATAAGATATTAGATCTGGGGTTGAAGTTTATTTTTGTATTGAGAAAGAGCCCTTCCCCATCTCCTTGAAGGCAGCAATCATTTTACATCACTTTGATCTTCTGAAATTCACCCTGAAAATGAAAGTCGGGGATCAAGCAAGACCAAGGTATCTTTCCAAGTGTCAGATCCTTCATATTTCAAGGCAACATTAATAATACACAATCATTTACTTTCCCACGAGCTGGGATGGGCTACACTGAGACAGCAAGAACACAAATTGGTGAGACCTTTGGTCTGAGTTAAGGAGGCACCTATAGGTTTCCAACAGTGAAGATTCTGTTTAGTGAAGCTCCCTGGCCTCTATCAGGATCAATCCTATGTCCACTGCCTCATCTACTCCATGCTTAAACTAACTGAGTGATTTGGTCTGGGTAACATAACTACTAGTGGAACCTTTTAATGGGAATCCATTGTTTAGTACCTCCATGCTTGTACAGACCTAATCGCCATCACTGCTTCTACCCCAAAGACTGTGCCCTTTGGTTATAACACAGGTGAGAGGGAAGGCATATTCTGACATCTTCTCAAAATCGTATGTGTAAACAAAGAGTGTATTCTAGGGGCTTAAAATACTTGCTTCCAAGTGAGTTTACCCAAAGTAGTCCTCTTACCTACAACTGTAACAAAGTCAACCACATACTGTCCATACTTGCATCCTTTGTTCCTTTGTCTTTTTGCTATTCATGCCTTTCCAAACTCTAACACCAGATTACCACCGCCTTTTCTGCTCTTACTCACTTAAAGAAGTTATATGACTAAGGGCAGCTAGGTGGTGCAGTGGATAGTGCACCAGCCCTGGAGTCAGAAAACCTGAGTTCAGTTTTGGCCTCAGACACTTGACACTTAACTAGCTTGTGACCATGGGCAAGTCACTTTATTGCCTCACCAAAAAGCAAAATTAAAAAATAAAAAGTTACATGACTGCTGATTTGAGTCCACTATAAATGTATGTTATCCAACCTCATTTGGGCCCTCAGGGCTACAAGGAAATTCTTATACTCTTCCCTAATAAACTTTCTAGTGCTCTCCCCATAGCTTTTGCTTTAAACCTTCCCCCTCCCTCCCAGAAGAGGATCTTATCTCATACTTTACTGAGAAAAGAGGCCATTCATGGTGACCTCCCTCTTCTCAATCCCACATCTCAAAACCCCTTGACATCTTTCTACATTCTCTCTCCCTTTGCTCCAAGTGTTAGAAGTGGCCTTTCCCTTTTCCCCTTACCAAAGCCCCTTTCTCCACTCATGTCCTTAATCCCCACCTGCCCTCCCATCTGGTCCTGAAGTTTGCCCGTAAAATTATCCCATCTAATATTCAATATCTCCTTATTCACTAGATCCTTCCCTGTAGCCTGTAAATATGCTCACATCTGTCCTAGCCTTAAAAAAAACCTTCACTTGACCCTACTATTTGCTTTAGTTATTCTCCTATAATTTTCCTCTATTTCTCAGCCAAACTCCTAGGAAAAAAGTCAGTTGCACATGTTTCCTCCATTTTCTCTCCTTTCATTAAATTATTTTTAATTACATTTTATTTTCTTCAATTAACAAACATTTATTTTCTCTCCCTCCCATACCTCTCTTGCTACCCTTACGCACACCTTGAAAAAGAAGAGAAAACACAACTCGTAGCAAACATACATAGTCAAGTAAAACAAATTCCCATATTGGCAATGTCCAAAAAACATGCCTCTCATTCTGGATGTTTAGTCCATTACCTCTTAGCCAGGAGGTGGGTAGCATTCTTTACCATCACTTCTTTGGAACCATGATTGATCATTTCATTGATCAGAGCTCTTAAGCCTTTCAAAGTTGCTTGTTTTTTACAGTGTGGTTGTTATGGTATAAATTCTTCTCCTGGTTTTGCTCAACTTTATTCTGCATCATTTCATACAAGTCTCCAAGGTTTGTCCAAAACCATCCCCTTCATCATTTCTTAGAGCAGGGCTTCTTAAACTTTTTCCATTCATATTTTGGCAGTGTTTGTTGATATTGTGTGGCCTGAGGGCATGTGCAGTGCAAAGTGCCCATGCTTTCTGGTCAGAATCAAGGCTGCAGTGAAGTTGCATGACACAATATGGGCAAGCACTGCCTGAAACACCTCAGATTTATTACATTTGATTTTTAATTAATTTTTGGTTGTTGTGCGTTCAGAAACCTTTTACTGTTGCCACATAGGGTCTCGACTCACAGTTTAAAAAGTGCTGTCTTAGAGCACAATAGAATTCCATAACCTTCATATATCATAATTTATTCAGCCATTCTCCAAATGATGGATACCCTCTTAGATTCCAGTTTTTTGCCAACACAAAAAAGAGCTGCTACAAATATTTTATACATTTGAGTTACTTTCCTCTTTCTTTGATCTCTTTGGGGTATGGATATAATAGTGGCATTACTGAGTCAAAGGGTATGCACAATTTAGTAAGTTTTGGGGGATAGTTTCAAATTACTGTCCAGAATGGCTCTACCAGTTCAAGCTCCACCAATAGGACATTAATGTGCTTTTTTTCCCACAGACCCTCGAGGCAGCATTTGTCATTTGCCTTTTCTGTTAGGTTTGCCAAAGGGTGAGATGGAACCTCAGAGTTTCTTTAATGTATATTTCTTTATTTTTTAGTGATTTGGAATACTTTGTTCATATTGCTATAAATAGATTTGTTCCCTTACAAACTGCCTATGACAATTATCAATTGTGAAATGGCTCTTATTCTTACAAATTTCAATCAGTTCCTTTATATCTTAGAAATGAGATCTTTATCAGAGAAACTTGTTGCAAAATTAACTGTTTCCCTACTACTCTAAACCACATTGGCTTTGTTTGTGCAGTAACTTTACTTCTTAACTCCTTATAATCTGGCTTTCTCAGTTCTCATCCTCTTTGACTTCTCTTGAAACTTTTGACAGTGATGACTATCCTTTTCCCTGGATAGTATTTCTTCAACCTAGGTTCTTATGCCACTAATCTCTTGCCTCTTCTCCAACCTGTCTGACCACGCCTGTTATTTACACCTCATGATTCTCTGTTGGATCATCATACATGTCCTACCCCTCCCTCCATCTTTGTCCTGAGTCATCTCTCTACACTCCATCAGTTCCCATGAACTCAACTACTCTTATGAGCTCCAGGTGCCACATTACCAACTGACTATGTGACATTTCAAATCGGATGTTTTGTAGGCATTTCAAACTCAAAATGTTTAAAGCAGAAATCATCTTTCCTTCCAGTCCTCTCTTCTTCCTCCCTTTTCTGCTGAGGATATTACTAGTCACCCAGGTTCACAACCTTGGTCATACTTTGTTCTTCTCTCTCCTTTGTTCCCCATTTTCAATCAGTTGCCAAGTTTTGTTGATTCTCCTCCCACTTCTTTTGCTTCCCTCCCCTGATATCTATTCCAATAGACACCATCATAGTCCAGACCCTCATCACTTCTTACTTCTCAATTCCTCTGAATTGGCTTCCTTGATTTGAGTCTCTCCGTCTTCAATTCATTCTCCACACAGCAGCCAAATTGAAATTCCTAAAATACATGTCACTTCCTTGCTCCCAAAATCCCAGAGTCTGAGTCGTAATCCCAGAGCCTACCTTGTACGGATGACTGTGTAGCACTCTCCCTTCACCCACTCCACGTTCTAGCCTGTACATGATATTCAATCTCCTATCTCCACGCCTTTTTTTTTTTCCATCACTTGTGTTTATTTAGTCTATTTCAGAGAATCAGTTCTCTAGATGCTCTGTTTGGTGGTTAAGTAACAATAATAATAATTTGTTAATAATCATATTAGATAGCAGGTCTATAGAGCTCTCAGGCTTGCAAACTGTTTTGTGGGTTATCTCCTCCCATTAGGATGTTAAGTCCCTTGAGGGCAGGAGCCATCTTCCTTTCGTATTTCCAGCATTTAGCATGGTGCTGGATAACCAAGCAGCGTTAAGTGCCTACTATGTACCAAGCCCTGTGATCGGCACTGAGGATACAAATACAATGCGTTGAAATCATCCCTACATCCCTTTGAGTTTACATTGGAATGAGGGAGAAGCTTGTACATATATACGTGGGGACAAAATAAATGTTGTTTTGTTGTTGTTTAGTCATTTTTCAGTTGTGTTCAACTCCTTTCTAGCAAAGATACTGGGGTGGGTTGCCATTTCCTTCTCCAGCCCACTTTACAGATGAGGAAACTGAGGCAAACAGGGTGAACTGACCTACCCAGGGTCACACAGCCAGCAAGTGCCTGAGGCCAGATCTGAACTCAGGAAGAGGAGTCTTCCTGACTTCAGGACCAGTGCTTGGAATGCTAGGGTGCACTATGGTGCCCCCAGCTGCCCTACAGAATAAATAAATAGAAGGAAATAGATACAAGGAATTATAAAGTAGGTAAATGCCAGTCAATTTCTGAGGAAGGATGCTAGGAGGTGGGGTGGAGGGAGTCAGAACAGGTTCACGTATAAGATGGTGCTTGAATTTCATCTGAAATCTCCATGCCTTTTCACAGGCTACATCCCACATCTGAAAAGAACTTCCTCCTTATCTCTGGTTCTTAGAACCCTGAAATCCCTTCAAGATTCAGCTCAATTGTCAACACTCATGCAAACTTTATCTTGATCCCTCCAGTTGCTAGCATCCTCCCCTCTCCCAAAATTACTTTGTTTTGGTCGTTGTGCGTTCAGATCTACTTATAAACCATTTGGGGAAGTGGAGGGTTTATAGTTCTAGAAACTGGAATGAGAAGGGACCTTAGAGATTTTCTATTTTCCATTTTCTGTTTGTGATTTGTCTACATGCTATTTCTCTCAATAGAACATACACTTCCCGAGGACAGGGACTATTTCATTTTGTTTTTGTATCCTTCAGGGCTATCACAGTGCCTGGCACTTGGTCTGATGTTTGATAAATGCTTATTGAATGAATGAATGAGGCTAAATCATTTCTGTATCAGATGAATCTGAAGCACCACTTTCAAGCTACCTTCCTTGGGCAAGGGAAGAGTTTGTTCCCGGGCCTAAAACATACATAAATGGGGAAGACCATGCTGAATATCCCTCACCTCTTCTAGTCTCTCAATATTGGCCTTCAAACATGGGGTGCAGGATCTCAGCTCACTGTTTTCATCATCCAGCTGCTGTAATCTGTTAGAAAATAGCACAGGCTTAGAATTTCATCATTTGCTTACCAAAAGACAGAAGTTTATGACAAAAGTCCCAGACAACATAGCTTTTTCAGAGATGTGAATTTTTGTTAGTCTTGTACATGAGATACTCTAGAATCCAGAAATTCTCATCCTCCCCCCAAAATTACAGCCACTATTGATTACTGCAGGCCAACTAAATTATTGCAGATTTTTTTTAATGTAGGAAAAGAAGTTAAGACAAAACTTTTTGTTAAGAACTTTTGAGTTCTTAGAAAGTTCTTATAAAATGGTTCACTTAACTGAACTTTTTTTAACCCTGAATAACACAACTTTAATTAGCACCTTAACAAGAACCCCCTCCCCCCTACCCCATTAGAGTCTTGCCCAGGTTTCAGCAAGTAGTCAACACTTTTCTCCTGTGGTAAAAGCCTAACCTTTTCTTGCTTCTCTTCTCCCGGGAATTCTGGGACAATTCTAGAATGACAAAGACCAAAAAGCTAGAGAGCTACTTCATGGGCAGGAGATTCAATCACTATTACTCAGGAGGGGCTCAGATGCCCCTCTGTGTCTGTTCCAGGCCTCGGGGGCTTCAGTCTGTATAGGCTGCTCTACCATAGCTCGGTCCTGTGAACTCTGTCTAACTCTAGAAAGAATCCAGGTAAACCCGCCTAAGGAAAAGGCTCCCCCTCCTCCGAGGTGAACTAGGAATACTGATCAAGGTGATCTCTAAAGTCCCTTCTCATTCCAGTTTCTAAAACTATAAACCCTCCACTTCCCCAAATGGTTTATGCCTGATAAGTGGCTTTTGAGTCTAACCATGGCATAAGGCTATGTGGACCACTACATGTTGTTTGTCCCTTCATAAACTCTAATGTTAAAATAAATATTTTCCCCTCTGCTTTTTTACCATAGGTTTACAAAACAAGCTACAGTCTGGAAGACGAAATTCTTGGCAATTTACAAGTGAGAGGTGAGAAGGGTACTACTGACTCCATGCTGACCTCAACATTTTCATATAGGGCTGTAACTGAATTGAGATCTTTACTGAAAGCAGTTGAGGGATGAATTTACAGGCTATCACTCAAGTCATTATCTCGAGAAGTTCCCATCTGGATCTAGAAGTTCTCCTTTGAGATTCAGAATGGCCTTCTGCTACCCCCTTCTCCTTCCTCACTGTCTCCCCCCATCCTCCACCCTTCAGCCCAACTCACAAAAATAGGAAAGCAAGGTTTTAGGTTCCCAATAGTGTAAAAAGACTATTCCCCCTGCCAGGTTTTTTTTCTTTCTTTCTTTTCTTTTTTTATGTGAAATCTGCTTCATGGCGATTTGAATTGATTAGTAGGGCAGTGCCCAATAAAATGTCTTTTTATGACTCTGTACTTGCAGTACAGGAAACACATTAAGACAACATAGATGGAATTAGTTACACAAAGGATAACTGCAATTCACAGGGGTCAAAATACATAAAGAGTTCAAATCAGAAAGAATAAAAAGGTTGAGGGAAAGCAAAAAATAAGCACCAAGAGGTACATAAACACTGTTTAAGAGTCTTTTGCTGAACCCTCAGTGGTAAACTTTCCAATATACCTATCCTGACAGGGATGCTCTTTTTCCTAATGATGACAGATCACTGACTTGTACTAGCCTCCAAACAGAATCATTTAAACAAAGTTATGGATCCATTTTGTTTTGACACAACAGACATTTCCAACAAGCAGCCAGACAATCCCTTCCCCTACAGAGTACATTCCCTGACAACAGTTTCACAAACGGACTAAAAGTACAACTTTCGTTGATAGCACATGCCGCTTTTCATTTTTGTAGTTTACTGATTGATTATAGAAAGGAGGATGCATGCTTTAACTTTGAGAGTATGGTATAAACATTTTAAATTGGATAGTTTTGACTACAGACAGAAGGTATTTCCTCACCCAAATTCCTTTGTTTTTACTTTGATATCTCTAAAGGCAAGGTTTGGAAAATACGCACATCAATGCAGTGTATATATGGAATAGCAAAATTCGTTAAAGCTTGGAACCTGCCTTCAATAACTCAGATTATAGCATGTTCTCTCTCATGTAATCACATTCAGTTGGAAAGCATCAAAAAGTAAATGCTGTTTAGCACTTCCAGAGGAAATGCATGTTTGTAGCTTTGTATTTGCATAGTCCCAGAAAGAAATCTGTTCCTTGTTTTTATTCTTAATTGTATTTCTTATAAGAAACACTACATCTCAGGGTAGACTAGCACAGTAGCCTGGGAAACTTGACTTAAGAGCTCAATACCAGAGATAAAAGGCCAAAGGTTGAATACACTGCTTTCTTGATAAACCCAGACTCACACAAGATCTTTAAGCACAAATCATCACTGTCCTTTAGTGAAGCAGTCTTAAATATTGCTATCTCCCTTCCCCCATTTTACAATGATTCTCAGTCATAACCCTCATTTAGCAATCCCATTTCTATAAAGGTGATGCAAATGGCCTGTGGTTATTCCAATTTACAGCAAGAAAGAAATTACTAGATTTGTGAAAAAAAAATATCCATAAAGATGGGAAAAGTAACCAGGAAAGCAAATTTTAGGTTCCTACTCTTTTATTTAAATAAAATTAAAAGATTTCAGTGCACAGTACCAGTGAAATGGTTAGACTGAAAGGTACATAGCACACTTCAAAGTAATTCATACACTGAACTAAGATCTTCTATTATACAGATCTGATTCATGTTACATTTCTCATTATTAATACTCTTTATTTTTATCATGCCATACCTGGCTTGGAGATTCTCAATCTCAATGCTTTTTTCTCTCTCCATCTTGCACAGGAGTTCCTTCTGCTTTCTGATTTCTTCAAGGATCATCTCATCAGCTCTCAATTCCTGCTCCTTTAACTGCTCCTCAAGGGCATTGGCTCTTTAGAGATAGAGAGGAGAGGAGATCAACATTTCTCAAAAATCTCATTTTAGTTCAGCTTGCTTCTACAGGGCCTGTTTCCTTCTCTCTCCCAGGAACTCAGAAGAAAATATTAACATTGTCAAAGAGAAACCATTATAATTCAAAACAGCTTGCTGCAAAGGTCATTCAAGATAGATAAAAGCAGTACATAACTTCCTATGGATCTGATGGGCTTCCAAGGCTTTTAGATCTGAACCAAAGCTTAAGCTGTACCTAATCAAACTAGAAGCTAGGTTTTCAGCTGCTTCAGTTCAAAATCAAAATGAGGCTGGTACAAAAAACAAGAGTCCAGGCCTATGATTTGGAAAATATGACAAAAACTCAATGACTCCATACTTTCAAAGCAGAACTCATTATCTTTTCCCTCAAACCCACTCTTCTTGCTAACTTTCCAGCTTCTGATAAGTGTATTTATCACCAGCCTTCTAGTCACTCACGCTCTTTGAAAACAAACAAGCAAAATACAAAATCCTTCTTCTGTGATTTTATTTTGATTTTAAAAAGCAATTGTGCCATGATAAATCTTATGCCTAGAGATATTTAAAAAAAAAAACACCTTTGACTGAAAAACACAATTTTGTAAACAACTATTTACGAAGCAGGAAGAGAGCCCTCCGAATACCAAAGGTCATTAGATTTCAGGCACCGAGGTTCACAACCTACCTCAGAAATATCTGTGATTCTTCTCTCTCCATGACCTCCAGTTAGTTGCCAAGTCTTACAAATTCTCATCCTTCCCATATTCTCCACTCACACCAGAAACACCCTAGATCAGACCATCACCATCTCTTGCTCGGAGTATTATAAAAAGCTTCTAAGTGACATCCTGTTGACTTCAGTCTCTTCCTTCTCCCAAGCCTTCCCTCACAGAGCTGCCAACCTGATATCACTCAAGCACCACTCTGACCATGCTACCTCCTCAAAGAGCTCCAGTGGCTCTCGCCTGCTTCTAGCATGTAAAAAACAACCCCCCACCCCAAACTCTTACGCCTGGTATTTAAAGCCCTTTATCATGTGGTTCTCGCCTTCCTGCTTAGGTTACTGCACGACTCCATCCCTTGATGCATTGAACATTATTGCCAAGTTGTTCTTCTTGCTCTCCCTCCCCTCCAGTACTAGAGCTCCTGCCTCTGTGGTTTGAATGGACTGCCCCTCATCCTTTCAATTTACTCCCCTCTCCCTTGTGCCTCTTTGAATTCCAGTCTTCTTCAAAGCTCTGCTCAGGTGCCAACTCCCATGAGGCCTTTCTCGATTGTTAGTTGTTACACCCTATTCTTTCATAAATACTTTCCATTTACAAACATGTGCATATATTGTTGCCCCCAGTAGAAGATAAACTCCTTGAGGGTAAGAGCTGTTTTGGTTTTGTGTTTATTATCTCCTGTGTCCAGTACAGTACATGACATAGAATAGCTGCTAAAAGAGATGCTTCACTGCTTGACAGGAGCTCCTCTAGCTAGAAATTCAAAGTTGTTCATTATCCTTTTTTTTTTTTTTGGTGATGCAATTGGGGTTAAGTGACTTGCCCAGCGTCACACAGCTATTAAGTATCAAGTGTCTGAAGCCGCATTTGAACTCAGGTCCTCTTGACTCCAGGGCCAGTGCTGTATCCACTGCACCACCCAGCTGCCTCTGTTCATTATCTTAATAGGTTGAAACACGCAACCAGGTTCTGACAAGCTGTTAACAATCCTTGAGACTCATAACCCTAGATCCTCTCAAGTTTGAGTTAATTTTTCTCTATGGAATGGAAATAAAACAAGCACCTTCCAGTGTAGTAAGGGGTAGGTGAGTCAGGAGACCCTAGCCAACTATGTTCCCTGGTCCCACTCTCACCCCCCCAATCCATTAGAATGAAGTTAGGAGATGCAAGAACTATCGCCCTTTAGACTCCGACTGGCTCATCTGCACATGAAAAGGCTGACAAAGACTAAGGACCTGTCAGACTCCTTAAGAGGAAGTGGACTGAATTATAGAATCAGTTTAAAAAAAAAAGAGTCAGCTTTGGAGGAAGAACCAAGCTCTTGAGGAAGGTTCTTGACTCTTTGCCTTCACTTTTTCCCTCGTGTCCTTTAAAGCATTTGGTAAGCTATGAGGGGATTTCTTCTTCCTTTCTCCTCTACTGGCAAGAGCATTTTGCATCAGAAGCATATTGCCATAGAAAATACTTCTGCACTCAGCCTGAAAGAGTCCAGCTTCAGAGTCAAGTTACAGAGTGAAGTAGAAGCCAGCACATGGAGGTAGGATTCTGCCTGGAAGACAAAAGGCCTTGAGGCCAAGCCTCCAACCAGTCCTGAGGTGTGCACCAGAGGTGGTGGGAGGTGACTACACTCAAGCACTGAAGCAACACCCCTGGAGCAGCCTCTGCAGGGGCCCAAGGGGCAGGTTCTAACAGAGGCTGCAAATGGGGAGGGTTGGAGGACATTAGAGGTAGCTCCAGAGGTGTGATGCCATACCCACATGGGTTCTTCTGTTCCAGAAGATCCATGTGTATGAGTACCTGTCCCTTGTGAACTCTGCGTGTCCGCTCTCCACTGACCCCAGGCCTGAGGCTGATGGGGAGTAGATCACTACTCTCCTTATTCTTCCTTTTCAGGAAATGCCTTTGCTTAACTATCACAATGGTGTGGGTTTTCCTGAGCCATAGTCTGTAATGTGCATCCAGAGGGCTGGATCCTGGAGTGGTTTTCTCCACTGAGGGATATAACTGTGCGCGTGAGTTGGAGGGGAGAGGTAGGCCAGAGGGGTGAAAAATAAAAAAAATATTTCTCTATCTTGAAATAGTACATTCATATGTAAACAATAGTATGAAGCATTCCAATTCTCCAATGACTGAAGAACAAGTTGGCCTGTTCAGAAATCAGAAACTAAGAAAAAAAAATTGTGGGGGGGCAGCTAGGTGGCGCAGTGGATAGAGCTCCGGCCTTGGAGTCAGGAGAACCTGACTTCAAATCCGGCCTCAGACACTTGACACTTACTAGCTGTGTGACCCTGAGCAAGTCACTTAACCCTGACTGCCAAAGCAAAAAAACAAGCAATGCCCCCCCCAAAAAATAAAAAAATAATTGTGGGAAGTTAAGTATCTCTATAGGAAAGAGATATAAGCTGATTCCATGATAACCCTTGCAAAGAAATATGAAGTCATCCTAAACCCTCATTTGTTAGGGAAGCTACTGAGTTTGAACGGGAGAGTCCTCCTGCTCATAATCACTACATGGCATACTCTCTGGGGAGAAAATAAAGGAAATGGGTTTTTTGCTTTTTTGGGAGACTTCCCAAGGCATTCAATACATTGCACTGCTCTACCCAGGAAGCACTTCAAAACTATAGGCAGACTGATAGTAATCCATTTCTAAAGTTCTGGTTAAAAGCACTTAAAATGCTAACGAATGAGTAAATCTGGTTTGTTCCATAGTCATGGTCTCGAAAAGCTGTGTGTACATCAATTTTGTTGCAAATCAGTAAAAAAAGCACTTATTAATGCTTTACTATGTGCCAGGCACTGTACTAAGTAAGCACTGAAGACATAAATGAAATAAATAGGTACATACAAGACATACAAAGCGTAAGCAGAAGGTAGCCTCAGGGAGAAAGGCATGAGTACCTGGAGGGAATGGGCAATAAGGGATTTCAGAATATGGGATTTGACATGAGTTTTGCCAAAAACCTGGGAAACTAAGAGCTGTGTTGAGGAAGGAGAGCATTCCAGGAATGGAGGGTGGGGGGGGGGGGGAGGGAGGAAAGCCAGGGCAGAGATGTGGAGTTGGAAGATGCCACGTTGTGTGTGAAGAATAGTAAGTGGGCCAGGGCAGCTGTGTCATAGAGTATGTGGAAGGAAGTAAAGTATAAAATTTGAAAGGTAGGAAGAAACCAGGTTATAAAGTTTTAAATCCCAAACAAAGTATATTTGATCCTGGAGATTATAGGTAGTCACTCGAATTTATTTTGTGTGTGTGTGTGTGTGTGTGTGTGTGTGTGTGTGTGTGTGTGAGAGAGAGAGAGAGAGAGAGAGAAAGTGTGTGTGTGTGTGTGTGAGAGAGAGAGACAGAGAGAGAGAGAGAGAGAGAGTGAGAGAGACAGAGAGACAGAGAAACAGAGAGAGAGAAAGGTGACAGTCAAACTTATGCTTTAGGAAAATGATGGGCACGATTAGAGGAAGGATTAGACTGTGGAGAAGTTGAATCGGTGGCTATTACAATAGTCCAGAGGAGAGCTCATGAGGCCTTGAATCAGGCCTGTGGCTACATAAATAAAGAGAAGGTGATGCATACAAGAGACATCATTAAGGTAGAAATAACAGGGTTTGGCAATTGATTAGATGTAAGGTGAATGAGAGTGAGGAGTTAGGGAAGAAACCCAGATTGTGAGCTTGGGAGAATGGAAATGCCATCTCCAGTTACAGAGAAGTGGGGAAGAAGGGAAAAATAATTCTGTTTTAGACATGTTAAATTTGAAATACCTAGGAAATATCCAATTGGCAAAACTATCGCTCAGGACACAGGTATATCTATCTATATCTATCTATATCTATATCTATATATATCTATAGATAGATAGATAGATGGATAGATAGATATAGATATAGATAGATAGATAGATAGATAGATAGATAGATAGATTGGCTAGGGCCAGATATATAGAGATAATAACTGTGCCTATCAGAACTGATGAAATCACTTAATGAAATAATACAGAAGGAAAAGAGAAAAGTGAAAAGGATTCAGGACAGAGCCTTGGGGGACACATATCACTGGATGTGATATGGATGAAGAATCAACAAAGGAAAGGAGTGATCAGAGGAGTGGTCAGACAGGAGAACTAAAAGAGAGCAATATCATGAAAATCTAGAGAGAACAGAGGATTCAGGAGAAGAAGATGATTAACAGGGTCAAATGCTACAGAGAATTCAAGAAGGATAAGGAATGAGAAAATGCGAATAGATTTGGCAATTACATCATTGGCAGCTTTGGAGAGGGCAGTTCCAGGTGAATGCTGAGACTGGAGGCCAGATTGCAAAGAGTTTAGCAGTGAGAGGAGAGGAAGTGGAAGCCCCTTGTAGAGATGGCTCTCTTAGGAAGTTTGGCTAAGGGATGAGAGATACAGGACAACAACTAGCAAGGACTGTAGAATCAGGGGAGGGTTTGGTAAGGATTGTGGACACATGGATGTGTTTGTAGGCAGAAGGGAAAGTGCCAATAGAGAATGAAGAGAAAGAATGTGGATGACAGTGGGGGCAATCTGATGGACAAGATGGGTACCTCTGCTGAAGAAGGCTGGGGGAGAGGGGTAGAAAGTGGAGAGGGTTTTGTCTCAAATAGACAGGTGCTAGAGAAAGCACTGGATGGTAGCATCTTATCTTGATATGGGAAAGGTCAGAGTTCTAGGTTTGCCACTTACTATTCATGTGAGAAATTTGAGACAGGGAGCAGCTTTGTGCAGGTACGATCTTTGTGCCTCTACCACAGAGAAGTGGAAGAGTAGGGGTAGAGGGCAAAGGATTTTCTCTCCTCTCCCAAACCCATATCAGCCATAGAATCTTGCAGCTGAACTACTTGTCTAGTAAGAGATGCTATGACCAGTGGAGAGTATAGAGAAACAGAAACCTACACTCTCTAGGGAGAGAGAAACAAAGAGGCAGCACTCAAGGCAAGAAGTGTAACCTTTGGCAGCAGAGAAAAGAGCCAATTATGCTTTGATGGAAGAATTAACCCAGGGAGTTGAGAGTTAAACTGCAGAAAGAAGTAGGCCCAGGGAACTCAGATGAGTGACCTATCCAATAAAGACAGAGCTCTAAGAGGAGGAAGAGGACACCACAAGAAAAGAAAGGACATTGGGGTCCCAGGTGTGGGATACCTTGGTTACACATGTCTCCTATATGTGTACCTCACTACTACTGTACTCCTAGATTTGTTCCCACTCTTTCACTTAAACTGTGTGTATTTGTTAAATAGTGCACCTCAGGTTTGTGGAGGACAATGTTTTGTAGCTAATAGTCTTACTATGCCATTTTAGTATCAAATGGTACCGCTTTGAGCTAATTGTGTTTACTGGCTATTAAAGAGAAAGCTCATTAGTGGGGACTAATGAGCTATAATTTTGGGAGTGTAGACCACCAGGCTACCCCTAGAACCTGAGGTAGCAGTTCTCCCTCCTAGGAACCCAAATTGTGAGCATGAGTTGGGGAGGGAGGCTCTAGAGGAGGTCCCCTCTACATAAATATAAAGGTAAAGAAAGATTTTTATACATCAGGGTTGCTTAAGACAGAACCCATCTAACATATGGACTCATATATTAAAGCAATAAAGAAAGTAAACAAGTCTTTTGACTCATATAGACCATTACAACTTACCCTAAAATCTGACCTACCTTAATAATGGTGTCTCCACTATTCTCCTTATATAGCTCTCCAATCTGTCAATGATACTAACCATTTCTACTACTTGAAGTTTTTCTTGACATATTCAAAGTTTTATTTTTCTGAATTTTATTCAATGATTCCATGCTATAATTTTTCATATGAAATTAATACTTTTTCCTCATTAAGAATGGCAATTTCTAAGTAGTAATAAGGTCATAAATTCAAACCATTCATGCCAGGACTCTATACAGGAATTCTGTATTGATGGGGTGCCAGAAATAGTTATGGGGTACATTAATGGGTAAGAAAATACATCTTCCAGTTGGGGCTATCATCAGCTACAGTTTAAAGTGTTGTTAAGAGCTAGTCTCACGCCTGGACTGCTGTCATGAGCTATCTGATCTCCCCAGTTTCCAATTTCTCCTCAGACCAAGATATTGGCAAGATATTTTCTCTAAGACATTGCCTTCATAATATCACTCCAATGTCTCTCTACTGCTTAAGACATGGAGTCTAATCTCCAAAAGTCTCATGATGGAAAATGCTATCCACATCCAGAGAAAGAATTACAGAGTTGCAGATCAAAACATACTATTTGCTCTTTTTTTTCCTTCTGTTTTATTTTGATTCCTCTTTTTTGTGGTCCCTCCTATTGGTTCTACTTCTTTACAACATGACTAATGTGAAAATATGTTTAATAGGAATGTATATGTAGAGCTTACATAGGATTGCATGCTGTCTTGGGGAGGGGGAAGGGGAGAAAATTTAAAACTCAAAAGCCTATGGAAGCAATTGTTGAAAACTAAAATAAATTAATAATAATAAAAAAAGACATGGAGTCTAAATTCTTTAGCCTGGTGTTTGAGGTCCTCTACAATGTAGCCTTGGCTTTATCACCTTTTACTTTCTCACATGAATCTTCAGCCTGGCAAATCTACTCTACTTGCTGTCGCTTATGCAAACTTTATACTTCACATAATCAAAGACATGGAGATGGATGGACCCACCAAGAATATCTTCCCCAAGGGGAAGCTAGGTGGCACAGTGGATAGAGTACCGGCCCTGAAGTCAGGAGGACCTGAGTTCAAATCCAGCCTCAGACACTTGACACGTACTAGCTGTGTGACCGTAGGCAAGTCACTTAACCCCAATTGCCTTAAAAAAAAAAAAAGAATATCTTCCCCAGAATCTCTGCCTATTGAAATCCTAGCCATTCCTTAAGGCTCCAGAGAAGCCAATCAAATGGTAAGCATTTTAGGAGTGTTTATTATGTGCCAGTCATTGTGTTAGGTGTTGGGGATACAGAGACAAAAAGTAAGAGAACTCCTGCCCTCAAGGAGTTTCTATGAAACTTTTCAGGATGACCCCACCCAGAAATGATTGCCTGTCTTATATTTATACTATGCTCACAGTATTTTCTGTCTGTACCATTCATACAAAACTCCCCATGTACTGCCCCCTATTATACATACTTGTATACACTATACTTCTCACTTACACTAGATCTAGGCTTCATCTCTTTGTTACAGGGTTATGGGACCTGAACCCCTAAAGGAAAAAGACCAGGTCTTTGAAAGCAACCTAGCTCCTAAATTTTTCCACACACAACCTAGTCCCTGGCATTTTACCTGAGGCATCCAGTCTATCCCAGTCCACCTAGATACTCAATAATCCTTTTAACTGCCCTTTCACTGTGGCTCTCCAACCACTTAACTCCTTTCATTGTTTGCACCTGGCCCACCCCGGCTATCTGTCTCTCCTTAATCTCATCCAGATCTTCTCCCAGTCTTTTCTTATATGTAAGTACCAATCTTACCCCCATTAAATTGCACAGATTCTAAGAATCTTGCCAGCTTCTATTGGTGACACAACACTGCAGATTTACTAGGAATCTTGCCAGCCTAACTGGTGTTATAATAAAACCTCACTACTCTGACTGAAAGAAGGCTTGAGTGGTCAAATTCTTTAGAGGCAGAACCCCTTCACATTTGCATTTTGGGGTTCCCAGCACCCCAAACTGCAACATTTGGACCTTAGTTCCTTCATCTGGAAAATGAAGAGACTGAACAAGATAATCGCAATAGCTCTATACTATTTGCTGAAAGTTGCAGACCTAGATAGCTCAAAAGATATTGACTGATCAAGCTTATTCCATCTTCTCATAATCTATAGCCCTTTGGGGGGGCTTTTCTCCTATACTGTTTTCCAGTTTTCCCAGAAGTTGTTGTTAAATAGTGAGTTCTTATCCCAGAAGCTGGAGTCTTTGAGTTTATCAAACAGTAGATTACTATAGTCATTGACTACTGTGTCTTGTGTACCTAACCTATTCCACAGATCCACCACTCTATTTCTCAGCCAGTACCAAGTAGTTTTGATGATTGCTGCTATACAATATAATTTAAGGTCTGGTATAGCTAGGCCACCTTCCCTTGCATTTCTTTCCTTAATTCCCTTGACATTCTAGACCTTTTGTTCTTCCAGATGAATTTTGTTATTATTTTTTCTAGCTATATAAAATAAATTTTTTGGCAGTTTGATTGGTATGGCATTGAATAAGTAAATTAATTTAGGCAGAATTGTCATTTTTATTATTTTAGCTCAGCCTACCCATGAGCAACTGGTATTTTTCCAATTATTTACCTCTGATTTTATTTGTGGGAAAAATGTTTTGCAATTGTGTTCGTACAGTTCCTGGGTTTGTCTTGGCAGGAAGACTCCCAAATATTTTATAATGTCTATGGTAACTTTAAATGAAATTTCTCTATTTCTTGCTATTGGGTTTTGTTGGTAATATAGAAATGCCGATGGTTTGTGTGGATTTATTTTACATCCTGCAACTTTGCTAAAGTTGCTTATTATTCCCAGTAGTTTTTCACTTGATTCTCTAGGATTCTCTATATATACCATCATATCATCTGCAAAGAGTGATAACTTTGTTTCTTCTTTGCCTATTCTAATTCCTTCAGTTTCTTTTTCACCTCTTATTGCTAAAGCTAACATTTCAAGTACAATATTGAATAACAGTGGTGATAATGGACATGCTTGTTTCACTTTGAGGAGGCTTTTCTCAATTCACAAGACTTTCTTATATTAAAATGCTCCATAAAGAATGAAGCAACCCTAGAAAGAGTTCTTCGTATCTCTCAAAGTCTGCGCTTAGACATGAAGGGAGTGTAAAAATGGGGTCTTTCCCAGGTTGGTGCCAGGACTAGCCTGGACATTTTTATAATTGCACAGTGAAATCTGCCTTCTTACTGCTACCAATTCTATAGCTCCCTTCCATAAAGTCAAAGCAGGCTCACCTGTGCACTAACTGCAGATTTTCTTGTTTTAACCGGCTGTGTTGTTCTCCGTTCGCTGCTGTGTCCTTCTCTAATTCCGTCACTCTCTTCTCCAAGAAGATGACCTTTGCAATAAGAGGCACAGGACTGATGTGAGGCGAAAAGTAAAACCGAGCCTATTCACAACACAGCTTTTTAGAAAAACAGAGTACAAAGTACCCACCTCCACAGTCCATTTGAGTAAAACTGAAGTATCCAATCCCTTTGCCATCAATGCAAGTTCCCACAACAATAACTCTTTTCAGTATCTGACACAACTTGATCTATCAGCTATGCTCTATGATTTTTCTTGTTGTATAACAGAATTTTTGAATTCCACGTATAATTGATATCATACTGCTTGCCTTTTTAATGGGTGGGGGAGGGGCTGGAGAGAGGGACAGAATATGGAATTCAAAATTTAAAAAAATGAATGTGAAAAATAAATACAATTTTAACAAAAGAATTTCCAAGTTCTTTCTCCTCCATTCTGTGTTTTAAAATTTTAGCAATGCCTTTTACTTTTCCCACCACAGTCACTTCCCAATATATATACATCCTTTCACTCCCATTTATAAAAGAAATGAGTTAAACAGCAAGGATCAAAATGACACCTGACAGCACGCCTAACATTCTGCTCTTGTGGGCCTCTTGCTGTCCAGTAAGGGGGAAGCATGTTGGCTCTGGGATTCTATTTTCCAGGACCAAGCCCAGCCATTGCAATTAATTTGAGTTAGATTGCCCACAAGTGTTGCTCTTATTGGTGTTACTGTAATCACTGTGTACAATGTCTTGATTCTGCTACTTCACTTGGTATTAGTTCATATAAGTCTTCCTGTGTTTCTCTGAATTTCTCAAACTTACCACTTTTTATAGTACAACAGCATTCTATTCCATGCAGATGCAATAATTTGTTCAGCCATTTCTAAACAATGGGCACCCAGTTTATTTCCAGTTTTTTGCTACAGATGAAAAGTCCTTCTACAGATATTCTGCCATATGTAGGTTCTGTCTCCTAGTTTCTTGTTTTTTTTTTTGTCTTTTTTAGGCAATTGGGGTCAAGTGTAAGTGTCAAGTGTTTGGTCTGAGGCCAATTTGAACTCAGGTCCTCCTGAATCCAGGGCCGGTGCTCTATCCACTGCATCACCTAGCTGCCCCTGTCTTCTATTTTCTTGAGGGATATGCCCAGTAGTGGGATCATTGGTTCAAAGGGTATAAAAAAGTCTAGCTACTTTTTTTTTGCAAAATTCAAAATTGTTTTCCAGAATGGTTGGACCATGTCACAGTTCTATTAATAGTATACTAGTGTGCCTATTTTCTCATAGCCATTAGATTTTACTATTTTTGACTTTTGTCAACTTTTCAAATTTAATGAGTATGAAATATAATTTCAGAGTTGATTTAAATTGCATTTCTGACAGAGGGTTAAGTTCCTAACCAATCAATAAATAGAGTTAATTATAAATGATAAAATGGATAATCTTGATTAAATGAAATTGAAAAGCTTTTGCACAAATAAAATTAATGCTAAGAAGGGGAGTGGTTGCCTATGAAATAAAAATCTCCATATCAAATGATAAGGGTTTTTTATCTAATACATATAGACAAATAAAAAGAAATATATATATATATACATACATATATATATATATAAAATCAAAAACTATTCCCCAATAGTTAAATGATCAAATGAAATTTTTAAAAAGTTCTCAAAAGAATTGTAAATTAACAGCCATATGAATGAATGAATGTTACAAATCACTAGTAAGAAAAGAAATGCAAATCAAAACAACCCTGAGGCTTCATCTCACACCCAGCAAACTGACAAAATGAATAAATGAAGGGAACAGTCGGTGTCAGAGTGGTTATGGAAAGACAGACACACTAATACATTGCTGGTGGGGGTGTGAATTGGTACAATCATTTTGGAAAGCAATTTGGAATTGTGCAAAGATAATGACTAAAATGTTCATATATTTTGACCCAGAAATTTCAGTGCTAGGCACATACCCAAGTAGGTGATTAACAAAAATAAAGGCTCCATATATATCAAAATATTTATAGCAGCACTTTTTGTATAGCAAAGAACTGGATAACAGAAGCCTATTAACTGGGGAATGGCTAAACAAATTGTGTGACGTGAATGTAATGGAATATTACTGTGCTATAAGAATTGACAGAAAGTGATGAATACAGAGAAGCTTAGAAATAGCTATATGAACTGATGCAAAGTGAAGGACAGCAGGGAAAACAATACACAATTTCTACAATAATGTAAATGGAAAGAACAACTATAAAAGAATCAAAGCTGAATCTGTGAAAATTATAATGAGGAAGTTTAGTCCTTAAAAACAGATATGAGAAGATAATTCTATCTACTTCTTTGCAAAGGTGGGATTTAGGGGTTAGATGGGAGTGTGGAACACTATATACAATGTCAGACTTTTCAATGTGGTTATTGGTTTTGCTGATTTCTTTTCTCTTCCTTTACTTAAAAAACTTTTTCTTATAAGGGATGGCTCTCTGAAAGGGGATTTAGGAGAGGGGAAGGAATTGAAGGGAGTAATTTAGGTAATATAAAAACAAAATATATCAATAGATATATATTTTTTAAAAGTTGACGGGGCCTTAACTACTATATCAAAAAATACTATGATGTAAAAACAAAAAAAATGTATTTCTCTTATTAGTAATTTAAAACAGTTTTCCATATGTTGAGAGCTTGGATTTCTTTTGAAAAATCATCAGTTCCTATCCTTTCACCATTTATCTGGAAGGATGGATGATTCTTGCTCTATATTTGCATCAACTCCATTTTTTTTTCAGAGTGTATGCACTATGCTAATCATTTGTGCTAGCTTCACATTTTAATTCAAGAGCTCTGTTAAATACCCAAATTCTGTGGTAATGCATATTATATATTGTATACTTGCAGCATGAGCTTCAGTTAGTGATTTGTTGGTAAGAGTTTAACAACTGGCTCTCCTGGGGAAAAATGTGTTTATGATACAATTTTAAGTTTAATCTACATTATTATTTTCTCCATCACCTTCTTAGATCTAGACAATCAACAGAACAAGAATTCAATCCCTAATTTGTAATATTTACTGGTTTCCAAAGTGGAAATATTCACACTAAAAATTTAATGATCAGTTGAAGAGCTGGCATAAGCTGGGTGCAGCTCACCCTTGGCTTTATTAAATAAGCAGCATGGTATTGGTGAAAATGCCCTGACTTGGACTCAGAAGACCTGGGTTCCAGTCTGAGCTCTACCCTTTAATAACCATATGACCAAAGGCAAACCACTGCACTCCTCTGAACTTCCTCAAGTTACCTCATTTATAAAATGGCACTCTTCCACTATTTACTTCACAGGGTTATTATAAAAAAAGTGCTTTACAAATAAGTGCTACATAAACATGAAATGTTATTACTATTATTATTATAACTATATGATCATTCCTAGATTTTCCATGGCTATCTTTTTGTATTAAAAAGCTTTAAAATGCTAATTTCATAAGAATTAATGTGTTTCATCTATAAATTAATATTTTTTGACATGCACTGGCATATGAAAACAGATTGTCATGGTGAAGCAGAAAGAGCACTGGACCTGGGCAGCCAGGTAATTATGTTGTGACCATGGGCAAGTCTCCTAATTTCAGTTTCTTCATCTGTAAAATGGTATAATATTTTTTCTTTACTATTTCAGTGTTGCTATGAAAAAAATATCTTTTTTTTTTAGAATTTTAAGCTTTCCTATGTAAAGAAAGCACTCTGTCAACCTTACAGTATTATATATATATGTGTGTATATATATATATGAGTTATTATTCCTAAATTTCTTAGTCTAAGAAAAAGAGAATGAAATAGGTTATTTCAAGCTATTAGAGAAGGACAGAACCATTCCATTCCAATTCTCTGACTTTATGGATGAGAAAACTGAGTTTCAAAGGGGACCAGGTGCCATGTCCAACATCATACAGATAAATAATTGGAGAGCTGGGGCTAGACTCATTTCCTACTTCCAATCCACTATTTTCTTTACAAAAAATTTTAATCTTATTCTTATTGATAACTTATGTTTTTATATCACATTCATTTACAAATATAACCTCCTGTTCTTTACACAATAAGCTATGTTTTCTAACAAAAACTACGAGGGGGGGAGAGGAAGAGAGAGGGAGAGAGAGGGAAAGAAAGGAAGAGAGAGGGAGAGAGGAAAGGAGAGAGAGAGAAAGAGAGAGGGAGAGAGAAGCTGTTTAGCAAAACTCAGCAACAAACAGACCGTGGCTAACAGCATATGCTCTATTCCATGTCCACAGTCTCACATCTCAGCAATGAAGTAAAGGGAGTGAATTTTGTCTCTCAGGTCAAGTTTGGTCATCATAATTACATAGTACTCAGTTTCCTGTTTTTGTAGCTTCTTTTTCTATTTACATTGTTGTCAATGTGCATTTTTTTCCTGGTTTAGCTTAACTCCATTAATTCATCTAAGCTTTCTTGTGCTTCTCTGACCTCCTCCTCCACCTTTTCCTCCTCCAGCTTCTTCATATTTGTTTCTTTTGCATTACATGAATGTATCCCAATTGGTTCAGCTACTCCTTTGTGTAACTGATAAGCATCATTTTGTTTCCAATTCTTCTCTACCACAAAAAGGGCTGTTATAAATATTAACTTCTCTTAGGCTCAGTTTCTTAATCTGTAAAATGGAGGTAACAGTAACTACCTCAAAGGGTGGTTGCAAGGATAAAATGAGAAAGTGCTTTGCAAATTTCAAAGTACTATATTAATTTTAACTATTATTATTTTTACTATTACTATTATGATGATTATTGTATACAAGACTTTTCTGTCTTTGATCTCCTGGTTCTACCAGAAGGATCTCTGGATCAAAGGATATGGACATATTTAGTCATTTTTTTTTAGCATAATTCCACATTTCTTTACAGAATGGTTGGATCAATTTACAACCCTACTAGGCCCAATTCACAACTCTGCCACAAGGTATCAGTGGTACTAGTGTAATATCAGCGTATTACAACAGTGTATCTTCTCACAACCCCACCAACAATAATCATTTCCATCTTTTGTCATCTTTGCCATATTGAAGGGAGTGAAATGAAACATCAGAATTATTTTGATTTGCACTTCTCTCATTTTTCCAGCGAGACCTGTATGACAAAATTTTGCTTTATTTTAGGTCCATTTATACCAACCTTATGTAATACAGTCAGTCTATAAAAGGGTTATCACTTCAGCTGATAAATAATAAATTACTAGCAGGAAAATCTGTACTTTGTATCTAGAAAAGGATTCATACAATGTTTCTTTCCTCCTCTATTTTAATTCCTACTTCGGAGAATCTAGCATTGAAAGGGGCTTTAGGAGGTGGTTGGTACATTGAGCAGCATGCTAGAAAATATTTAACAAGAGGCTCTCCAAAAGAAGGAAAAGACCATATGACACAGTTTTAAGTTTAACAATCAAGCTCTGATGTGTAATTTAACAACCAACTCTTCCAAGCCAGTTCAAGCTGGGTCCAGCACCCCCCAGGGGCCAACCCTTACCTGAATCAGAATCCTTTCAACAACACATCTAGCTAATCAAAAGTAACCTATGACTGCCCAGGGCAGCCCATTCTACCTCTGAATAGTTCTGTTAGATTTTTCTTTTTTCATATGAACTACTTTTAAGCCACAGTTTCCCCATCTGAACTTGTACAGCTGAAGCTTCAATCCAAGTGAAGGACTTTACCTTTCTCTTGAGTAGGAATTGTTTCATTCATTGTATTTTTATCTAGCAGAGTGCCTGGATATAGTAGGTAATTAATAAATGCTCGTTGATGGATTGATTGGTTAGCCCTACTAAATTCCATTTTGTTAGTTTTGATTTACTATTCCAAGATGACAAAATATTTTTGAATACCAAGTCTGTTACATAATATATCAGCTATATTCTTAATCCTATCTGTCAAGGTTTCAGATGGTTGAAATGTCATCTATAAATCTGATAAGCTGATTCTCTCTTCCTTTTAAAATGTTAAACAGAACAAGGCTAAGGAAAGAGATCTGCTTCAGTCCTCTTATCCTTCAGAAACAAATATATTCCTCTCCTACACAATGGTTACAATTTCCCTTATACTGCACTACTGAAAAATGAGACAATTATTAGAAATGGGCAGAGCAATGATGAAAAGGAGCTTCATTAGCCATTATAAGTTATTTGATTTTTAAAAAACGTCGTATAAATGGGAATAGAAAAAAATCCACTTAAATTAAGGTTTGAGAAGTACATAAAATGTAAGAATAATATTATCATTTTATCTAAGCTTAATTTTTAAAATGTAACACGCAAAATCAGAACTATATAGTGATACTTTGTAGTGCTTAAAAAAGGTACTAAACTACATTTTAAAAAATAACTACCTTTAAAGACAGCATTGTATTGTAGGAGACAGCAATGTGGTGGTATAAAGGACACTGAACAGGGAGTGAGGAGCCCTGGTTTTAACACTGGCTCTGCTGGTTAACTAGTTATACAATCTTGAGCAAGTCACTTCATGACTTTGAATTTCACTTTATGAAGAAACGAAAGGCCTAGAATAGATGAGAGGTGTCCAACTCAAATAGTAACAATCTCTATAGCCCAAGTGTGACATGTGCGGTCTAGGTGAACTTTGGAATACTTTCCAGCTCTAAGAAAGCTAGTGTTCTTTCCACCGTATCACATTTCCTTTTAATAGCTATGATCAGCTATACTTAAAAATGGACATTTTGAGGGGAGGCATAGGTAGTTTTGGAGAAGGGGACACTAGTGGAAGGCACATGAGTGAAGCAAAGGAGTGGCAAGTTCTAAGCAATCAGAAAATAGCTAGAAGGTACTGGGTTCCTGGGAGATGGTGGGGAGTGAGTGTGTGTGTATGTGTATGTGCGTGGGCACGCACGTGTGCCCGAGTGCAAGCATGTGTGGATGTTTAGTGATACCAAAGAAAAACTACCTACTTCAAGCTTTAGTTTGCTTACAGCTCCAAACTAAACAGTGAACATAATAAAAATAGCTCACATTTATATATAGTAATTTAGGGCTGGCAAAGTACATTACATATACTATCTCAATGGATCCTCACAACAATCCTGTGAAATAGATGCTATTATTCTTCCCATTTTACAGATAAAGAGAGGCTCAGAGATGCTAAGTGACTTGCCCAGCTAGTAAGCTGGTTGGACTTGGATCATCTGGAAAAGTTCTCATCCTGTCCCTCCTTTTCTCTCTCAGAGACTATGAGAACTCCAGGGTGGGGAGAAGTTCTCTTAGCCTGAAGTCTCCTGATAAAGAGTCAGTCTGCTTATAGTATCAGACATTTAGAGCTAGAAAAGATCTCATACCATCTAGTCCAGCCTAAAGAAGTTCAATGACTTGTCCACAGTCACACAGACAATGAATGACATTGTAACTCAGCCCCACTTTGTGGAGTCAAGCCCTCTCCAGGCTCTACCTCTCCATATATGCCTCCCCTTCGGCCTGACCCAATCCGCTCCCTGCTCCTGCTGAGCTCCCCCTTGCCTCTACTCCCCTTTCCGACCAGAGACAAGCTGGGTGCTTGATGAAAAAGGCAAGAACTCAGCGAGACTTTGAAGGAATACATCCAAGTTAAATTATGCACAGCAAGTACACAGACAGCATGCCTAAAGATAATCTGGGTTATGAGTGCACATCTTAAACATCATCCCGTATTTGTTTAGTCCATGGGGTTTTCTTGGCAAAGATACTGGAGCAGTTTGTCATTTCCTTCTCCGGTGTGTTCCCATTTTATAGATGAGGAATTGAAGCAAATAGAGATTGAGTGACTGTCCCACAGTCACACAGCTAGTAAGTGTCTGAGGTCAGATATGAACTCAGGTCTTCCTGACTTCAGGCTGGGTGCTGTATCCGCTATGCCACCTAGCTGCCCCTATCATTTCCTATACCTTCTTATACTTTCTTGATATTTAATAAATACCTATCTGTAAGGGCTAAATGGACAAAAGTAGACAGATAAACTGAAAATAAAGTCACAGTACTTCACCACAATTAGGTATTTAAGCTTTAAATTATGAGATAGTAGAACATGCTTGTTACAAATGTTAATTTACACGAACATAAACATTTCAAGTTTTACTCCAGGTTTCTCTCAGGTACTGGCCTTCTGATGAAAACAAAGGTCCAGGTGGAGTAATTACCTTGTCAGCAATGTCCTCATCGGTATAGTCCATAGGATTCTGAGAAGTTTCCTCCATAGCCTCTACAGTCAGGTTTCCAGTCTGATGGAGATGTCTATAATAAGAAAATAACAAACCAAACCAAAGAAAATACTTGTTCATTAGAAAGATGGAAAATATAGGTCCTAGCTTAATAAGTAGCTTCTTAAGCATTAGTATTTCCTAATAATTACGAGGAAATGGAGAAGAAGCCAGGTAGGGGTTAATTTCCAAAATTTATCCAGTTTATCCAGAGATGAAACATTCCTTAGGGCTAAACCCTTTTTGTATGAAAGAGAAAATGAACTTTTACCCTAACACATCATTCTCTACAACCTTTCCAGCAACCTTTGGAATATCAAGTTCTTATTCTTCCAACTTGTTCTATCAGGTTGGTGGGATAAAAGAACTTTGTGCTCAGGTGTAATAAAAAATAATATGTATTTTATGTTATGAAATACTTTCCTCTTACTTCTCAGACTAGTAAAATATTAATTTAAGCTAATGGCACTTTGTACACAATCTTATCATTTAAATTTATCCTTAACATATTTTTCAAGTTGCCTATTTGAAAAGTGATATTTATACCTCAGTAGGGATGCCAATTCTAAAAACAGTTCTACTCACACAAAGCTATGACAATGTAATGTAAGATACGGTGTCATACATGGGGAAAGCACTGGAATCATAACTGACTGGCTGGAATCCCAGCTGTTACTACTCACTCTATGTAACTTCCTGCAGATCATTTCTTCAGGGGCCACAGTTAAGTCATATATCACACATCCTTAGGGGTTTGGGGAGTGAGTGACTACTCTATCTTAGAATATGTTATAAAGAAGAAGAAGAAAGCTGGGCATTATTTGACATACATCCTAGATTTGGGGAAAGCAGATTTCAAAAGGTCCCAGAGTCTGTAGAGGAAGTCAGCAAGAATGAAATTTATGAAGACATAAAGAGAAACAATTCTGATGAGTTTAATTTGGAGTTCAGCAAGTTGTTTCTTTCCTGCCACAGAGGAATTTGTACTCTATCATAACAGGAAGGTTTCACTGTTTTTCACTGTCTTAGAAGAGGGATTTGGGAAGGAGCTTTGTGATGGTAGTTTTTTAACACTGTCATGATGGGAAATAAGTTTGGCTGTGTGATTTTTAATTTTGAGGAGATAAACCAAATAAGTAGATGCTTTAATATATAAGGCAAAGTTAACTCAGTTTTAGTGTGATGTCGTAAGAAATTCTGAGTAAGAAGTAATGCAATAAAAAAGAACACTTAGATTCAGAGAAGCTAGATTCAAATCCTATCTCTGATATCACTCTCTGGGTGACCTTGCTGTTCCTCACACATAACTTTCCATCTCACTTGCCATCTCCATGTTTTATCCTCCACTGGACAGCAAAGTTCTTGGACTGCACAGATTGTGTCTTACATTTCTATTTTAATTTATTGATGCTTTTTTGGGACACAGACACTTGTTAACACTGTCCCCCCCCCCCCAAGTCTACTTAAAGTATATTCCCCTAACACAGTTAAGGAAAATATTAATGGAAAGGAAAGATTTGTGCCTATAACTTTGATAATATAGTACCCCCACTGTCTGTTAATATTTGACTGAAGCTTTAGGACTTCTCAGAGATATCTGTTTTCTTTGTTGTAGTAATCTATATTCTTTTGTCTCTTCTTTTTTCACTCTGCATCACTCCATTCAAGACTTGAATGAATGTTACACATACATCACTTCTTAAATTGCTACAGTATTCTACTGCATTCATATGTTCAGCCAGTTCTCAATCATTGCACAAAGATTCTGTTATTAACAACAAGAAATGTATAAAAGTGTTCATAGCAGGATTTGTGAATAGAAGAATCTACAAAATCATGCCCAACCCTAGAAGATGGCTGAACAAACTTACATTTCTTTTCAATGACACTTAACTTAAGCATGATGGTGGATGAGCAGAATGGATTCTCAGTGAAGACTTGCAAAAGTAACGAATGCCCCACTTTCTTGGGTTGTTTTGAGGGACTCTAATTTGCCTGAAATATGTCAAGTATCTAAAAGTGTTATTGTATTTCTTAAATAGGATATAGTACGACTTCTTAAAAAGAACTGTAAATATTACTTGCTTTGGTAATTGGCATAGTTCGCTGATTTTCTAAATCTGATTTCTTCATAAACATTCCAAATAAGACAGCCAGAAAAAATTTTTTATAGGCACCTAGCTAGAAAGGAAGATTAACTTGATTTTGCCATTTTTTCTTAAAAGCCACATCATTAATCTGATCCTTAAAAATTAGCTTTAAGTTATTATTTTCATGTATACTCTAAGCTGCTTTAAAAAAAAGGAATAATAATCATCCCAATCAACAAATACTATGATGAATGATCATATAAACATGTCACAGAGTCTCCAGCCTCAAAAGAAAAGGAGGTACACAGAGAGCCAATGGTTTAAGACCATGAGATATTATAGAACGTTTCCGATGGCAGGCACACTTATCTTTCTAAAGATATTTATGTTAGAGTAACAATTCAGCCTGTAGGCTGAGAGTTAAATGCTTGCTGAATTGATCTGGGTTAAAGGACCAGGGTTTGCATTTTAGTTCCAATGCTTACTAGCTTGTTAGCTTGGACAAGTCACTTCCCCAGAGTAAATCTCATTTTCTTATTCAAAAAACAAAGTTGTTGATGTCTAAGATTCCTTCCAATTTTAAACCTTATAATTATCATAAGCCATGTTACAACAGTGTAAATTTTTGAGAAGTTTCCTTGTGAAAGCGAAAGAGTAGACCTCAACAATTTCCTCATCCAATTTAAAGTAACCAACACTACTGCCTGATTGAATCAATCACAGGCATTACACTAAGTGCAAAAAAGTCCTTGATCAATTTAGATATCCTTAAAAGTCATTGGATGAACTGGAGTGATGTTGCACAGAGGTATATTTGGATTTGTTGAGCACTCTCTTGGAAGTTTAGAACCTAAGGGATTCAAGTGTCTAGTAGCTTAGTGGCAGAAACCTCTAACCAAGCACAAGAAGGAATCTGTTAGCAAGATGGAGGAAGAAACATCTTGTCCTCTTCTCCTCCTCCTCCCTTGACTAGAGGAGTAGCTTCTGAACTTTGGAGGGTCAGGGGACTTGGGACTTTTTCACTGGCATCCTAGCAATATCCCTGGGACAGCAGCAGCTGAACTCAGTAAAGAAAAGCAGATTTAAGGCTCTTTAAGGACCCCAAGTAGAAATGTTACTCTACACCTAAGGGGAACATTGTGAAGATGCCAGCAAGGGAACTTCTAGGATCTGAGTTCCCCCTTTGTCTTTTGCCACATGTGCTCTCCAGTTTAAACTTACTTTTTCCTGGACCCTATATATACTAATGAGAGAATGTGTCACGGACTGGGGTGGGGTGGGGAAGAATATTTTGTACTAAGAGTTCATACTATAACACCTTGACAAAACATCCTTTCCTAAAAACTAATTAATTATGCTTGACTGATATTAAGTAATAATGGAAAGCACACTGTTTGGAGTTTATATGTTACAGCATTAGAAAAATAATCCCCCCAACTCCATAGGGCTACCTCTAGACTCTGAGGGGACAGATATCAGGTGAGCAATGATCCCTGACCTACCAGTATGAGTAGAGATTAGGAAAGTATGTCCAGAGCTACTCTTGAATTGAATTTTTTTCTTTAGGATTTACTTAGATAAAGGTGTTTATCAAGTTTACAAAAACTTAGTGTGTGTGTTTTTTTTTTAAATCCAGTTTGTGTTTTGGTCCCTAGGGACCAGAGAAACAAAGGAAAAAGAACCTTAACTTTATAGTTGCTATACTGAAAACTACATCAAACAATTTTCCTTTTGAAAAAGTTAATATTCCTGAAAATAAAAATATACCTCTGATCTTTGATATATGAAATGAGTACTTTTGGTCTTCTACACTGAAGGACTATTTATTTATTCTTCATCTACAACTGGGAGGCAGTGTGGTACAGTGGAAAGAGTGCTGAAATTGGAATCAAAGCTTGAATTCCAGCTCCATCATATACTATAATTAGTTTCCCCACAGATTAATCAATCTATGAGTCATCTGGGCCCTGGTTACTTCTCCTTCCTGCTAACCATACTTTTATTTGTTCACTAACATTTTTCCCACAGGGTGGGTAGAGGAAGAAACTTAAATGACTATCACCTCTTTTCAATTTTACTATCTGTGAACAGTTCAGGTAAAAAGGAATGACGGGTAGAGAGTAAGAGGGAAAGAAAAGAGATCGAAGATATGGCCAAAATAAGGTTTTCAGATGGTCTTCAAATATCAATTCTTTCTACTATTCTTGTCTCTTATGCCCACAGATAACTAAGAGTTTCCTATTCACTTCAAAAATCCTTCTTAAAAATTAGAATTTAATTCTTTAGTGTCATTCCATTAACTGATTCAAATAAAACAAATGGTTTGATATCTCATGAATAATCCATTCTAAACCAACTATCTGTCTTAGGGAATGCTGACATCCAAATGGAATTACTCTCAACATGAAAATCTACTGATTATTTGCCTCTATGTTAGTTATGACTAAGCTTAACTCCAGGGTATCTCCAGTTATTAGAGAGGTGTGGCCTAATTTTAAAAAATCTTAATGATATTATTTTAAAATTAAAATATGATATATAGCCCCAATCAAACAATGATAAAGTACTATAATCTTAAAAAATCCGTTGTCCCTGCTGTACAGTTATGGTAAGGAGAAATCAATGTAAATCTTTTTGCTCATTACGAAGTAAAACTAAATCAAACATGATAGATCATGGCAGATGTTCAAAGTAAAAAGAAACACCACAAAACCACATTCTAAACTGGATAAGTCTTTTTACTGAGGCATTCTAGAGGATCCAAGAAGCAAACTTGGGGTAAGACAGAGACAGCCCTTGTGGCATTGAAGAAAGCAGTCCCAGAGGGACAGATGATCCTGAGATTAATATGAACTAAGAATGGAATGACATGTTATTCTATTATGAAGATTTCAATTCTATTTTCTATAGTTCTTAGTATACAGGTAGAAAACCTACAGTTTCAATTCTTTAGACTGTTGTGTTAAATTCTAAGGAAATTGGGAGTAAATGTTTTTGCTACCATTTTACTCAATAAAGCGTTTTGCACGTAAGTTTTCCAATGCAACCAAATCCTATAACACAAATGGGTATGCACATATAACTAAACATGAATTCAAGTCTAACCTGGCAGTATTTAGAAATATCTTTTACAAGTTTTCCCAAATTAAACTAAAAATAAAAAAAAAACCTAAAAAATTTTAAGTCCTCTTCAGTTTTCTGGTGGTCGGGGTGAGGAATGAAAATATTTCTTTAAAAGGAAAAAGCATGCACTTTAAAGAAAAATGAGTTTTATCACAGCATTTCTTTTAAAATGGATAATAAAGTATTTGCTTACCTTGCTACCTTCTTACTGGAGAGTCGTTTATTTGGACTGTGCAATGAACAAAAACAACAGGAAAACAGAGTCAGGAAAACTGACAGAGAAAAGCAAAAGGAAACAGGAAATTCAGACTAGAGAGATACAGGGATGGGGGCACATCCTTACCAAATGGTGTAAACACAAGCATGCATTACTCAGCTTTTCAATGACAGTATCCATGCAAAGTCCTATGTTAGGCCCTTTCTTACAGACAAACATAAAAAAGACTTTAATAAATCCCCTCAGATTTCTGCAGTTATCACAAGCATTAATGGCTGGCTTATTTTAGTTCTGAAATGGATCTTTACATAAAATAGCAATAACAAGACCAAATTAGGACAATTCAGTCTCCTGGCTGTACTAATTCACCTGACAGAATATTCAAAAAGTACTTAGCTTAAAGGAAAGTCTTCCAAATATTCTGGCTGAGACAAACCAGGTAATCAGAATGGATAACAACACATAGCCGTAAAAACAAAAAAAAGTGAATCATGACTGGAGTGTTATGCTTCAAATAATTTACCAATTCAGAAGAATTTTATTTCAGTCTAACAACCACTGGTTTTTCACAATCACTTGGGATAACTCTATGGTGGTTTTCTAATTGCTATTCATTTTTGCTACTTGGAATACAGGAAACATAGCAACATAATTTTACAGTTAGAACAGTTAATCATCTACTAAAGACCATTATCCATCTACTTAAACCAAATGATTTTGAGTCAGTTAGACAGGGTGTTCTTTCTCTCTTTACAAAGAAACAAACCACCAACATTTTATAACTTACCTTTCCCACTGGCTGGTACTTCTTCCCTTCTAAACTCATCTTCTGTCATTTAACTACTAATATTCTACTGAATGCTTTAACAATGAACAATATTTACTCTAAGTCTAGTAATTTATTGATAGTTCCTTATTCTGCTTCGTGTGAAAAGTCTGTTATCTCTAACAACTAGAAAGATGAAAATCATGATTACCAATATATTGAGAAGTCAGCTCTCCTGAAATTCATTTACATGAACAAAAAGCCCCAAACACAATCCTGCATCATTCTTTGGTTTAATTATTTAAGACATAACTGATCTGTGTCATTTATAAAGATCAAGTAGCAAATTAATTTAGGGAATTTACTTACATGCCATTTTTTTTTTACTTTATATGACAACTTTTCTACCAGTCTGCCTTTCCACCTTTCTTCTGATCATCAGCTAGACTCCCTAAATATAACATCATCAAAAATTACAGTGTAATTTACTAACTATTACACTTTGGTAAATTGGTTGCCATCCCATTAAAAGTTTTTATTATCTGAGGCTGCAATCTTAAGTATATCACTTTTAAAATTTTGGCGAAATAAAGTATTTCTGTAAAATGCCAATAAGATGAGTGGGCTTTATAATTTTTTTTTGAGTTTACAATAAATGTTAGAACAGATCTTGAATATTTTACAACAGAGTTAGATGAAATCAGACTTTTTCTTCTTCACAAAACTCATTGAGATGGAATTCCAGACTAGGACAATCATTTGTTTCATTCAAACTTTTATTAAGCATCTATTCTATACACAATGTGCTATATTAGGTACTAAGGAAGCAGAGGGGTTTTTTTTAAGAGTCTCTTCCTTCTAGGAAATTATAATCTAATTATTAACAATGTCTTTAATTTGGCTATGTATACACTGGTAAAATGTATTATTTTCTAAGATTTTATTACGAATAGATCATTAACTGATTCCCATGAATTAAAACACTGCTTTGCCTAGGGGAAGATGTGGTTGAAAAGAGTTCTAATGCAAGCTAAGTAAGATTAATTTGTAAGCCAAATTATATTAAATTAACCCAATTTACTTCTTATAAAGCTAATTCTTGTTCTATTTCTATTTACCTCAGAGTTTAGCAAAGCATTGTGTAAATAACTGAGTACTACATTTTGTAAACAAATGTTATAATGGTGATTATAATTCTCTTGAGAGATAAGGCTCTAATTCAATTTTCTTTCAAATGTGGTGAGAAAAATTTTAATTTTTTTAGTTATGCATAGTATAGCATGGATTTCAACTTCAAACTCTAAGAATGCTATGTATAAAACTGCTTTCATATTCACTTTCAAAGGCAGCCAACATACCTAGATTAGAAATTACTAAATAGCATTTGCATAGTGGTCTGCATGAAGTAGGAACTTACCACACGGTTGATGATAAAACAAATGGTTAATTTTATCCTCAAACCATCTGTTCCAACTTCTATTTTCTTGATTTTCTGGGTAAACTTTCTTCTTTTTGCTAAGTCAATTCATTACAGTCATGGCATGACTAATTAGGCCATGTTACTGGGGCACAGTGGACTTTAAGTTTGGAAGAACTGATTTCTAATCCTGTCTCTGATACTTACTAGCTATACAACTCTAACTAAATCAATTAGCCTCCTCTATAAAATGGGAATAATAGAAACATTTAATAACAACATAGGGTTGTTGTAAGAGTCAAATGAGATAAAGTACATAAAGCATTCTGCAAACCTCAAAGTGTTATATAAATGTAATATTATTTTATCAACAACACTGGAGTAAGGGTCATGTTCTCTTCTGTCTTCTATTTCTTTAATAGGTGCCTGTGTCCAATGGATCAGATTCCTATTCTTCATGACTCAGGTTTCCATAAATTTCAAGTCCTGTTGTCCACACAAAACACTCACCCATCTACTACTCCTGTGGCCTATATGAGCCAGTAGAATCACCAAGGGTTTCTATGTTAAAATGCTAAACTCACAGAATTGTTGGAACTGAAAGAAATCATCTGATCTAACCTTCTCATTTTACAGGCACATCCCAAATAATGTTACATCAATAATGCTATTAGAATGATATAGAAAACTTCCACTACAACCTTCCTAATCCTGATGCTGCACTTTTGGGACAACAGTCTAAACTTGGCAACACAAGATAACAGATTTGGAGCTTGGAAGGGAACTCAGAAGTCATCTACAGCTCATGTAGAAATTAGAAAATTTAGGCCAAGACTGATTAAGTGACTTGCCCAGATTCCCACAAGTGAACAATCGGCAAAGCCAAAATTCTAACCCGGATCCTCCAAATCTGCCATTCTTTATGCTGTACTCAGTTAGGATGTCAGTTCTCACCTTGAGCTCCCCTCCTTGGGCCTGCCAAACTGTTCTCCTAACTAGGCCTAACTCCAATTTTCCCTGCCTACCCTTTGGTATAATGGTTTCCAAAAGGGGAGAGTGTTACCTGCCATGGTCCTTGAACATGCTCATCAAAATCTCAGTTTTATCCACTTAGGTCAGCTATGGGATTAACTATTGTCTGTAATGCTATATTACCTAGTATCATTTTTTTTTCTGATCTATGCAGTGAATGACATTAGATAGGGTATATAAAGAGAAATGTAGCAAGCAAATCCGAAGGTGGAAAAGCATCTTGCCTGAGGCTACACAGCAAGTGCCTGCCAGAGGTGGGCCTAGAACCCAGGTCTCCTGATTCCTCATCCAGTGCTCATCTCATTACGTAACCCATTACTTCAGTCCTCCCTTGGCCTGGTCTGTTTCTCTCCCTGCAACAGATTTACTATTTCTACAAATGACTAGTAAAAATATCCATGTGAACTTCAATATCCATACTATTACCACCCCTATTATCCTGCTATAGTTTTTTCAACCCATTTTTAAAATGTCTTCATGCCTTCCTGTATAAATCATAGTATCAGAATTAAGACTTTAAGTGGAAAACAAAAATCCTTACACACTATAGGTAAAGGCCAAGGGCTATAAATAATTAGGAGAAATTTACAGGTAGGCTATAATTAGAACTCGGACAAAGTGCTAGTGTGTGATGTGGTCTAAATTTAATTACATCAGTTTACTTGCAACTGAAGATCAACAAATGATTCCACCTTTATCTAACAAAGAACAACAAAAAAAAGTATATAAGATAGAAATGGGGAGTGATTTCCAAGAAAGCAAAAAAGGAAAAAAATATATATATATACATATGGAAGCATTTTGAATGACTTCTAACATTTTTGCAGTCAGCAAGAATTTACCTTTATTTCAGGCCCAGTTGTACATGGGTTGACTATGCCTGAAGAATATTCAGCATCATTAGCAGAAATGTTCTTGCATACAAAAATCTAAATCTAAAATATTAACTACAAACAAGTTTTCTGAAGTTGTGAAGTGCCTGTAAAAGGAAAAGGTTTAAAGAAATCTAACTTGGAGATGTTAATAACAGGGAGGTTTTGATTTGAACTAGAGTCAGGGATCAGAAATGAAAGAAGAAAACAGATAATTCATAAATGAAAGGGAAAAGAGTTGAATCTGGTACCACTGATTTGCTGCTGAAACCCAAACTTTTTCTTTTAAACACAGAGGTTAAAAAACAAAGCTGAATTTTTATGGTAACTGACTAAAGCCAAAGGCAGTCTTAGTAGAATCTATTCAAAACAAGATCTAATTTTGAGTATGGACATATCTTATTTTATATGAGTACATTCCCTAGAATTCCATGTAAACCAAATTTTTGCTAATAGTAATAATAGCCAGCATTTATATAGTGCTTTAAGGTTTGCAAGCAATTAAATGAATTAGGTTTATAACTATGTTGTATGTTAACTAGCTAGCTATTTAAATGAATCATACATGGAAAATAAGTCCTTTTGCAATGTGAAGAATGAAACAGTTCAAATAAATGAAATAACTCCCTAATTTATCTGCTTGGCAAGTCCAGATTTGCCAGTATTGGATTTATGTCAGTAGGACAGTCCAATAACAACTGTTAGCCCCAGTAACTGGGGAAAAAATAACCCTTAGATTGCATCATGCAAAGCATAATGAAGAAGTGATGAATTCACTAAACACAGAACGAACAACATGCAAAGGGAAGATTCCCATTATCAGTTATACTCTTCTCTTTAATTGGAGGCTTAGGAATTTAGGTGTTCATGAACAAAGAGTCACAGGGTGCACCCTAAGTTACAGTGAGGCCACCCTGGCTGACAT